GACTTATGTTTTGTAAAATGTCAATTTATTAAAAGGCTAAGATCCTCAGAAGTAAGAAGTAACTATATATCTGAATATGAATCAATAGATGTGCAATGAGTTTCTAGGCAATAGACGTCAAACACCTCTTCTGGTATTGTTTACTACTAAGTTTCATCTCTACATTTTAACACTATTAATAGAAAAAGGTACAAAGGCTCCTTGTTTTTCCGTGTCCGACTCTTCCTGACCCCATTTGGGATTTTCTTAGCCAAGATTATGGGGTGGTTTGCCATTTCCTTCTCCAGCTCATATTAAAGATGAGTAAACTTAAGAAAATAGGGTTAAGTGACTTGCCCTGGGTGACACATCTAGTGTCTGAGATTGGATTTAAACTCATCCTTGCTCTATCCAGTATCACCTAGATTAGTCCTAATATCAATAGTCTATCCAAATTTTGTTCCCCAATAATGGTGAGTAGCACAGAGAATTTCTGAAGTAAACAATGTTTAGACTAAAGATGAAGTGCAGGAGGTTGAGCTAAGGATGACCCTGGAGAACGCACAAAACACCTAAGTATAAGAAGGGGTAGTATGGTTGAAAGAACAGGCTCAGAACTTGGGTTCAAATCCTAAATTTGTTGCTTCCTGCCTGTGTGACATTGGGCAAGTCATTAGACTCGGGAAAGGGGAGGTCTCAGTTTCCTCATCAGAAAAGAGACGAAGATGACCTCCAAGGGGGTTTATAGCTCTGAGACTATATCCCTATTAAGTAACTGGGTGTGGAATGTGTAAGCTAGTACAGGGTAGGGGAGAGAGAGAATTTCTAATCTTTACAGTGTGTGAAGATGAAGACTGTGACAAGTGCCCAGGAAGGCTACTTCACTCCTCCAAGGGGAACAGGGGAAAGATAGAGAAAAGCGGGGAGGACAGCTGGGAAAGTGTTAGAGAGAAAGAAGTGCCAGGAGCGCAGGTTACCAGAGTAAGCCCCGGGTCCAGGCCCGGATTCCCGCTGGCTCCTTGTGACGTCACAGAGCGCCGCGGCTGGAGAAGAGGGTTAGGAGGAGGGGGTTGGGGAGATGGGCCGCCCCACCTGTGGCTGGGGAAGAGGGAGACTCGTAGAGTCCATGCTTCTCCGCTTCCGTCTCTCTCCTCCCGCCGGCATAGGCGCCGTGGACATCGTGGTCTCCGACCGGCCGCGTTTGCGCCGCTTCTCCCGCGAGGATTTCTTCCCAGTCATGTCCACTCCGCGGGTACCATTCGAAGGAGAGAGTTCACGTACGGCGAAGCCTCAGCTCTCTCCCAGGGCGGCTCCTTGGCCGGGAGAGAACCACAGGATCACCTAGAGCCTCGGGAGGAGCGGTGTGACGCCACTTCCGCCCCCCTCTCCATTCCTTTTGCGCTACTTCCGGGAGCTTGAGTACGTCTCCGGGACGCTGGGACGTGAGCGATCTTCGCAGAGAAAACGGGTTGTGGTGGTGATGCTGCTGGGTCTGACCCACAGGAATGGAGGAATACCAAGCGAGGGTTTTTTGTGATGTTTGTTTTTACCGGGGTGGGGAGGAATTTTTCTGCTTGCCTTCCCTGCATCATCTCTCTAAATCGGAGGTCTAACATGTCACCGCCATTCCCACAACAACCTGTTGTGGCTCCTTATCACCTTCTGAATCAAAAACAAAATCGCCCTTTTTGTATTCAAAGGCCTTCATTATCTGGCCCCTTCCTAACTTTCCAGTTTAATTACATCTTATGCCTCCGCCCCCCCATGAAATTTTTCTGTTCAGTTACCTAATTTTTTAAGTTTAATGGGGCAGGCACAAAAAAAAATGGCTGTGAAGCATAAAGGGAAAAAAGTAATGAATCCGGATTAGACCTGGATTCCAATTTAGGATCTATATTCATGCAGTTAAAAGACGTTGGGTACATCACTTAATACCTTTACACCCCATCTCCCACCTCCAAGTACTCTACAATCAGTGACACTGCCCTCCTTCTTACATAAGACACTCCAGTCTCCCAATTTCTGAAGTTGTCACAGTGGCTGCTCCCATGTCTGGAACTTTCTCCCTCCTGGTCCAAGGAGCCTTTCCCAGTCTTCCTTAACCTTTGTGCCTTCTCTCCATTGATTATCTCAAATTTGTCCTGCATACATAATTGTTTTCATGTAGTCTCCCCCACTAAAATGTAAGCTCCTTTCAGAAGCTATTTTTGCCTCTTATTTCTATCACCAGAGTTTAGCATAGCACCGAGCTCAAGGTAGGCGCTTAATAAATGTTTCCGGTACAGGACACAGGGTCCATGGCAATTCTTGCTCCTGATAAGCACAAGCCTCATCCTTTATGGCCCCTCCCCCTCACAATCAACTTCAAATACCTCCATTTTTTTTCTCTTCCTGGTCACCTAATCTTAAAGTTTAATGGAAGAGGCAAAATAATAATAATAATCTTCTTTAAAAGCTAAGCAATCTAAACATAGTGCCATTCTGGCTATGATGTATAAAGGAAAAAGGCCGTGGGTTCTCAGGAGATCTGTGTTCTAAATCTAGGATCCACTATTAATGCTGTTACATTAAGCAAATCACTTCACCCTTTCAGGCCAGTTTTCCTGCTTATAAAGTGAGATTGAATTAAATTTCAAAGGCCTCTGGAAGCTCTACACCTTCACTCCTATTTATCACATGACATTGTGTACCATACCTACTTGACTTATGTCTTTTAGTGAACGAATGGTTTTGTGAATACCATGCTTATATGTTGTCTGATGTAGAAAGAGCACTGGCCTGCAATACAGAAATACTAGGTTTCAGTACTAACTTCACATTATGCATCATTAAAATAATGCCTTCACCTTGTAAACCTATTCCTCCTGACTTAAGGTTTGAAAATTTAAGTCAGTGACACTGCCATTTACCCAGGTTCTCATGTTTCAAACTTTGGGGTTATCTTTAACTTTTCCCCCTCCCACCTCTTATATCCAGTCTTGTCAGTTTGTTAATCCCAAGGTTTCATTACCCACTCTCCTTGGTGATTATTCTAATAGCATTTTCACCCAAACTCTCATATCCTTGAGTGCAAGGGACTGTCTTAACTTTTCTATTTATATCCCCTTTGCAGACTGCAAAGCAAGTGCTTTCTCAGTCGCTCATCTAGCTATACCAATGATACCTACACAAAGCCATTGAATGATTTTCTACCAAATATAGATTGAACACCTCAGCTTGGTATTCAAGGTCTTCTAAATCTTTTATCTCCCTTGCCTTATCTCATACTCCTTTTTATCTACACACTTCTTCAGTACTCCAGTTAAGCTGGACAATTCAACACCCCCACCCAGACAGCATTCTCCATGGATCTTTTCTTGTTTAAATCCAACCTATGCTGTAAAGTCAAATTAAAATAATTTCTATGAATGCTTACTTCAGTCTTTACCACTGTGGACTTCACACAGCACTTTGTACCTCTATTTGATGTGTGCCTGCTAAATTGTGAGCTCCACAAGTGCAAGGACTGTGTTTATTTAAGTTTGGTATCTTCCTCCACTGCCTAGCACAATGTACGGGACTTACAAGTGCTTAAAGTTTGCTGAATAGAATTTAATCTGCAAAATCAGGATAATACAAGGAGTATGATAAGGCTCAAATAATACATAGAATATAAAATGCTTCATAACTATAAAGAACTTTATAAAGATAAACTTGTTATAAACACATCCAGTTACTGCAGATAATTGAAAATACTAAAACAGTGCTAAACCTACTCCCTACAGTTAACCTCAGTCCCAGAGAATAAGATGAAATAGAACTATGGACAAGCTGGTCATTTTTACTTAGCAATTTTTCAACATTAGGACACATTCAACTGGGTAATACTTGAAAATTACTATGGTGCAAAAACAGTATCAGTGGTTTCATTAAATGAGAAAAAAAATGGCCTCATGAAGTTTAAAAAAGCAATTTAAAAAATCTGTGACAGCCAGGACAAATAGTTGAAGGACACATAATTCTGTAATACTAAGAATGTACAAATGAATGCATACAAGTTGTAACTAAAATGAAAAATGTGTTAACATACCAAGAAAAACTTTTCTCCACTAATATATAAATGTAGGCTTCTATGCTTATGTGGATGGGCATGAAGAGTACAATTTAACCTTTCTTTGACCAATCATCATCAAATCATAATCAGCTACTGCATTAACTTTACCAATGGCCATCTAAAATTCAATATATATTTAGAATAAGCTGATGACCTGGCATAAACTAGCAGGTGTCAAAATTAGAGAGAAAAATCAAATACTCCAAATAATGACAGGGAAAACAGGATTGGAGTGTAGGACTGGGACTCAAATAACAATTTTAGAAGCCAAATTTGTCTGAATTTATACAGCATATATAATGAGATTAAGTGATTTGCTCCACATATTTGCATGGAAAACAAAAATCTTCTCTACTAATAAGTCACATTTCTACAATGATTTAATGTTTACGAAGGGCTTTCTTCACAACAATCCTTTGATCCTGGTAGTATAAATATTACCAGACCCATGTAGCAGATGAGAAAATTAGAATTCAAGGTCCTTATGAGACTTGCCCAGGTCACTCAGCCAGTAAGTCTCCAAGAAAGAATGTGAACCCAGGACTCCTGACTCCTAGGCAAGTATTCTTTCCATTCTACCATGCTCCCTTGGTCCAATACCTAAAAGGTATTTTTAATGCACTTAATTAAAATGTTTAAATGTGTATTCTCAAGCCCTCAAATGAATCAATATTGTTGATAACTACTAATGAAAACTGGTGCACCAGAACAAAAAGCCAACAACAAATAATTGTGTATAAAGGAAAAATACAGGCAAATGACACCCTCCCAAAGCAGTCCTTTCATTCTTCTTTGACTGGGTAGTGATAAAAACATCCACTATATTTGTTTTTACAAATGACTGTTTCACCAAACTTCCTGATGTTTATTTGTTTTATACACTCTAAAATCCACCCGTAGCCATATGGGAAAGTATCACAGTTTACGGTTAGTGCAAAAATTGTTTATTTGTTTTCCCTCCCACTCAACAGAACTTAATTAAGTTTTACTTCATCCACAGTATTTTTCAATTATATCCAGTCATGTAAAATATGAAAAAAAAAAAAGCACTAATCAGACATAACTTTAGGTCCCCACATAGTAAAAACAATTACAGCAAATTAAGGACAAACCTACAGCATTCACTTACTTTAGCTGGTTCTGATACTGAGCCATATTTTTTTATTTGAGAGTCAACTCCTAAAGACTTGGCTAATTGCACAGCATTTGAATCGTCACTGATCAGTGTCCCAAGAGCCACAAGGAGTCTAAAAGTGGCTTCAAGGTCTTGCACAACTTCCAAGACTGTGCTGATTACTGACAGGCATTGAGCTTTACCTTCAATATTATGGTTTTTATGTAAACAAACAGAGTAGTTCAGGGTCAACGTAGCCAGTGCAATATGAATGTTCTTATTGCTGCCTGATTTCAGTTCTATTGCTTGTGATAGTAATGATTCCCTCTGTGACATCATGAGCCTCTGTCCTGCCTGGCCGATAAAACAATTGCAAAGAGTCCTGAGTGTTAGCAATTGGTTTGCTGGTTTTCCTTTAGGATTCAGAAGTTTGAGGAGGTGACTGCTGAACTGAGCACCTTCCTTTTCATTGCAGAAATTCTCATTCACAGCAGGATGCCTAATTGACAACCGAAGAATGTCAAGTGCTGGAAAGACGATATCTATATTTTGAAAAAAATGTTGTTAGTTGAATGAATCTTAATTACTGTTTCCATGAAGAACAAAAACAACCCACTTTCTTAAAATGCATATTATTCCTAAGAGACATAGCCACTTTACAAAATGCCTATATTCCTGAAAAGTTATCATTTTAATTTTTCATATTTTAAATACATTTATAAGGACTAGAGAGACAACACAGTATAATGGATATAGAAGTGGCCTTGGGGCTAAGAAGACCTGGGTTCAAGTCCTGCCTCTGACACATACTGACTTTGTGACCCTGGGCAAGTCATTTAACCCCCTCAGTGTTTCAAGCAACTCTCCAAAATTTTAAGTTGCAGAGACGTCCTGTACTGAGAGGGGCCAGGGGCAGTTCTTCCTTTCCTTAACAACAGAGTTCCCTAGTTCTACAGAGAACTAACATTACATATACATAGCACAGTTCTAGTACCTATCCCCCTATTCTGAGAGCTTGCTATCTTGGAAGACACTCTTGCAAAATGAACAGTTGTGGGCGGAACCAAGATGGCAGAGGGAAAGCAGTAACTTGCTGGAGCTCTCCCCCAAACCCCTCCAGATACCTACAAAAGCTGGCTCTAAAAAAATTCTGGGGCAGCAGAACCCATGAAAAAACAGAGTGGAACAAGTTTCCAGCCCAAGACAACCTGCATGGCCGATCGGAAAGGTATATCGTGCCACGCTGAGAGAGGAACGCAGTGCGGTGTGGGCGTGCAGGCTGCAACAACCCTGGAGCAGGCCTCAGAGGACTAAATCGTGGGCAGCTGCAGTGGTTTCCAGACTTCTCAACCCAAGAACGCCAAGGACAACTTAGAAGGTCAGTGGGAAAGGTCTGTGACTGTGGTGAGAGAGGAGCTAGGTCTCAGCCTCAAGTCCAGAGCATGCCATCGGGGCAGTGGCTGCATCCTGAGCTTCTAGCCCACAGACTGAGGGGGAATCAAGTGGCTGATTAGAGAGGGATTGCAAGGATCTCTTTGCCAGGGCTGAGGCAGAAATCTCTTGCTTTGCCCTTGCTTGGATCTGGGTCACAGTTCTGAGGGGTGGCCCTGGGGCGAGGAAGAGCTCTGGAGAGGAGAAGCGCTGGTGTGGTGGAGCTTGTTGTGGCAGTGGAGAGGAAACACTTCGCCCCTTATCACAGAACCTTGGAAGAACTTACACTTTTCAGGTCCCTAGAGGTATCTCTGAAAACAGCTGTACAAACCCCCGAAGCTTGGGACAGTACATTCTCCACATTGGAAACAGACTCTTACCTTAACAAAGAATTTAAAACTCAAGTAATTGGTTGGGATCATGAGCAAGCAGCGCAAAAAGAGTCAGACTATATTATCTTACTTTGGTGACAAAGAAGATCAAAACATACAACCAGAAGAAGAAAACAAAGTCAAAGCTCCTACATCCAAAACTTCCAAGAAAAATACGAATCAGTCCCAGGCCTTGGAAGAGCTCAAAAAGGATTTTGAGAAGCAAGTAAGAGAAGTAGAGGAAAAACTGAGAGTGATGCAAGAAAATCATGAAAAGCAAGTTAACAGCTTGCTAAAGGAGACCCAAAAGAATACTGAAGAAAATAACACCTTAAAAAAATAGCCTAATCCAAATGGCAAAAGAAGTCCAAAAAGCCAATGAAGAGAAGAATGCCCTAAAGAGCAAAACTGGACAAATGGAAAAGGAAGTCCAAAAGATTACTGAAGAAAATACTTCCTTCAAAATTAGAATAGAGCAATTGGAAGCTAGTGACTTTATGAGAAATCAAGACACTGTAAAACAAATCCAAAAGAATGAAAAATTAGAAAACAATGTGAAATATCTCATTGGAAAAACAACTGACCTGGAAAATAGATCCAGGAGAGAGAATGTAAAAATTATTGGAATATCTGAAAGCCATGATCAAAAAAAGAGCCTAGACATCATCTTTCAAGAAATGATCATGGAAAACTGCCCTGATATTTTAGAAGCAGAGGGCAAAATAGAAATGGAAAGAATCCACCAATCTCCTCCTGAAAGATATCCCCAAAGGAAAACTCCTAGGAATATTGTAGCCAAATTCCAGAGCTCCCAGGTCAAGGAGAAAATATTACAAGCAGCCAGAAAGAAACAATTCAAGTATTGTGGAAACACAATCAGGATAACACAAGATTTAGTAGCTTCTATATTAAGGGACCGCAGGGCATGGAATATAATATTCCGGAGGGCAAAGGAGATAGGACTACAACCAAGAATCACGTACCCAGCAAAACTGAGTATAATTCTTCAGGGGAAAAAATGGTCATTCAGTGAAATGGAAGACTTTCAAGCTTCTTGATGAAAAGACCAGAGCTGAATAGAAAATTTGACTTTCCAATACAAGACTCAAGTGGAACATGAAGAGGTAAACAGGAAAGAGAAATCATAAGAGACTTATTATGGTTGAACTGTTCACATTCCTGCACAGAAAGATGATATTTGTAACTCATGAGACCTTTCTCAGTATTAGGGTAGTTGGAGGGAAAAAAATTATATGTATGTATATGGATGGATAGATAGATAGAGGGCACAGGGTGAGTTGAAGATGAAAGGGTCATATCTGGAGAATAAAATTAAGGAGTGAGAAAGGATTATACTAGAAGGAGGAGAAAGGGAGGGGTAGAACGGGGTAAATTATCTCACAAAAAAAAACCAGAAAAGAAAAGGCTCTTACAGTGGAGGGGAAATGGGGGAAAGTGAGAGGGAATGAGTGAATCTTTTTTTATTTTTTTTGGTGAGGCAATTGGGGTTGAGTGACTTGTCCAAGGTCACACAACTAGTACGTGTCAAGTGTTTGGTCTGAGGCTGGATTTGAGCTCGAGTCCTCCTGACTTCAGGGCCGGTGCTCTATCCACTGAGCCACCTAGCTACCCCTTGGAATGAGTGAATCTTATTCTCATAGGATTTGACTTAAGGAGGGAATAACATACACACTCAATTGGGTATTGAAATCTGTCTTATCCTATGGGAAAATAGGAGGGGAAAGGGGATGGGGGGGATGATAGAGAGGAAGGCAGATTGGGAAAGGGGGTAATCAGAAGCAAATACTTCTGATGAGGGACAGGGTCAAAAGAAGGAATAGAATAAATGGGTCAGGATAGGATTAAGGGAAATGGAGTTAGTTTTTCACAGCATGTCTACTATGGAAGTGTTTTGCACAACTGCACATGTATAGCTTGCCTTTTCAGTGGGGGTGGGTGGGGAGGGAGGAGGGGAGAGAATTTGGAACCCAAAGTTTTAGAGACACATGTTTAAAAAAAATTGTTTTTACACGCAACTGGGAAATAAGAAGTACAGGAAATGGGGTACAGAGATCTATCCTGTCCTACAGGAAAATAGAAGGGGAAAGCATTCTGCTTTCTACCTCTGTACTTTCAATCTATAGAAACTATAGGCTTGATCAAAGAGGGGGAAAAAAAAACTTAGAAGGGGGAGAGATAGCAGGGAAGGCAGACGAGGGGAAGGGGTATTCAGAATGCATGCCATCTTGGGGTGGGGGGAGGGTCGAGTTGGGGTGAAAATTTGGAACTCAAAATCTTGTGGAAGTAAATGTTGAAAACTAAAAATAAAAAAAAAAGAAAAAAAGAAGAAATAATAATTAAAAAAAAAATGAACAGTTGTGAGTGATGAACCCAATTTTAATTATCATATATGTCACCTAAAAACACAATGGAAAACAGATAAATTGATTTTGTTTTAAAAATCATTAAAACTCTGTCCAGTTACCTATTTATATAATTTTCCCCTTTAAAAGTTTTTATATACCTTCAGGCCAGTTAACAGCTTTCCACAAAGTCTGAAGCTGGTGAGCTGTGGGTCCTTCTGCAGAGCTATTACCCGTTAGAGACAGTATCTTTTCAAGAAGTATCAAGTCATCTTCAGTTAACTTCTGTTCTTCAGGTGCAGTTCCATTAAGTTCTTTTAATTTACCTAGGATATGACCAAAAGCTAAAACCATTAATATCGTAGGCACATCATTTATAATCAGCCAGTTAACATTTACTTGCCAAATGTTTGCATGTACATTATGGGATGCACTAAGGGAAGAAAACAGTCTTTTGTCCCCGAGAAATTTCTAATTTGAAGAATATTTTATTAACAAGTTTTAATTGCCTTAGAAACTAGAAACATTTAGCACCACATGTCCCTTCCAACTCTAATATAGTCCATGAATATGTAAGTCTAACCTGATTCTTACATTGTAATCAAGTTAAGAGTTGATCTAAGATCAACTAAGATCTAAGGTTGCCTCTCTAAAGATAGACAAAATAAAGTGCTAGAAAGTCACTTGAAAATGTTTTACATGCTAACAGTCAAGGGCCACAAGTCATAGAATCATATGCAGGATTTTAGCATTGGAAGGGAAGGACTTTGGAGTCCATCCAATCCATGGCAAAGAGTATAAATCTTGGGGAAGAAAGGAGAGTACGGTTTGACATGTACCTGTCATTTACCCATCATTTCCCAAGAACTTCTAAAGCATTATGCTTTCTACCTCTGTACTTTCAATCTATAGAAACTATAGGCTTGATCAAAGAGGGGGAAAAAAAAACTTGCTTCAATCAGTAGTCCATATTGATTTCCCCCCTAACAAATCCAAAAGCAACTAAATGTTTTCATTTGTATTACTTTCTTTAATCACAGTGAGGCAAAACTCAGATCTGGTGCCAAGAAAGGTCTGAATTTGAATCCCACCCAACACATTTACTAGGTGGGTAACCATAGACTATCTTTAGGAGTTGACTCACAAATAAAAAATTATCAACCTTAGTTCCCTCATTCCCATTTTATAGAGAGTACCACCTGTAGTATGTGGTCATTGTGAGGATAAGTAAACTTGATTTAAGTTAACAAATATTTTCAAAATAAGTAATCCCTGATAGAATCACTAGATTATCTAAGGTAAGATACTTAGTGATACCTACTGAATCTAATGATAAAACCATACTCACCCAATATTTGTGTCAGGTTGGCCTGGTCAAATGTGACAGCTTCCTTCTTGGGAAAATATATATTTAGTGTTTTAAATGGGGCTGATTGGAAGATACCACTACCTATTAAAAAGATTATTGTAAACAGATTTTAAATAAGTTTTTAATTGTAAAATTTTTATTCCCAAAATTCAAATCTTCAATTGTTCAAAGAATAGAAAGACTATTTCAAAAATGTTTATAATTTGGTAAATATTAAAAGACCATTTGCTCATGATGTATAGTTACATGATATTTTCTAAAAAGGAAATGGGGAAGAAATATAAATAGAGAAGAACCACTCTGCTGCTTAAACTTTTGACATCTGTACAATGTATGCCTTCAAGTTGACTAATATATTAATGGATTATAAAATAAATGTGAAACAAAAAGCTATTACTATTTTCAAGAAACCTTTCCTGATAACTCCACCCTCTGTATATTTTTTCCCTTTTGAATCACTTACTGCTTATACCAGACAAACATCTTAGGGTACTAAAAAATGGAAGGTAGGACTCCTGAGCCACTATACACATTACAAAGAATGCAAGATGCCACAGAAAAGCAAATTTGTTATTTGTCTTCTCTAACTCAACAACACTGTAAAGTTCTTTAAGACAAAAACTATGTTCCATGGTTTTTTTTTTTTTAATTCCTCATGCTTTGCTAAGAAAGTGCCATGCACAGCAGGCATTTAATATATACTTGATAAATTTTAATTGGCCATTTACATTCAGAAAGATAAATCTACAAATTCCAAGCCTATTATACTAACACAATTTACCAGTAATCTGATTGTAACCAAAAAGACCACTGTAAATGCACCTTATGCTAAATACTTGGTCAAGAATGAGGTAAGAAAAATCTAGAAAGAATCTGACAAGATGCTTCAAACTAAGTCAATATAACATACCTTGATAATTGGTGACTCCAACATGAAGGTGGGCATAGGGGAGGACAGCAAAAACTATATTGGAAATCGTTTCACAATTACGAATTTAAAGACTCAAAAGGCATATATACTGCTCAGAAGCCTCACACTCTTCTAGCTTGCAATCTATAACTTATTTATTATGAATATTTTCTTTGAAAATAGTGATAAGGCATTGGACAGGATAGGCAAACAAATTTTTTACATGAAATTGACCATATCTTAGCAGACAAGAAATGTCTGATTACTGAAGTGAGTCAATTACCAATGAGCTCAGTGTATAGCCGGACTAGTTAATGCAAAAATCTAAATCACCACATTAGAAGGGAAAAGATGAGAAGACACTGTGTGCAATTTACAGCAGCTACAAATTGACCTATTTTTAAAAGTTGTTGCTTTTGAAAAAAGGAAATGGACAAAAGTAAAAACACTGATTGTTTTATCACTTCGCTAAGAACTTATCACAGTAACTAAAATGAAGAGTCCAAAAGACAACTCCCCACCTCCAAACTGTCTAAACCAACAAGCACAATCTCTTTGCTAATGAAAAAAGACTTGTCAACCATGGGCAAAACAGGTTTAGAGTATAAATTCATTTACAAAAAAATTATGGGAAACGATGGTGGAAGACATTGGCATGAGGCCCAATTAAGTCAGTTCATTCTGAGAACACACACAATAGGTCCAAATACGTTGTTGATTTCCCTGCAAGAATTAGCATGGGAAAAAAATGTTATTTTCTGATTATAGTCACCATGGGAGATTAAAAGAGCTACCAACAAGAATAAGAGAGATGAAGGACCTCATAGCAAGTATGAAGGAAGAGGACAATGTTGTGGTGAAATGCTTATTAGTCTTTTTGTTGCTATTTACACTCAAAGTACCAGTTGGATTACGTCTAACGATGAAGGTAAAGAGACTTGGAGAATACCTCTTCACAGTATCAGGAAAAAATGAAGAATCCTTTAAAATGGGATCACCAAAAAGATAAAAACAAAAAACATTCTGAAGCAGAGTTGAACCCTGATGGTTAAAGGAGGATAAAGGGTAGAAAAATCTGACAAGGAGAAGGACTACTGAACATTTCAAGCTAAATAAATGATAAACAGTTATTTTTACAGAGAAAAGAACCAGATCCTCTGATAAAGAATGATCTTGCACTCTAAGGAATGATGATGTGGATCCATGGGGGTTACCAGGAGAAAGGTCATCCAATAAGATTCATAAGAAGAGACAAGTGATGGTGATGGGTAAATCCCTATCAAGGGTATCAGGGTATTGGTCCACAAGACAATAATAAGGTCTATTAGATTGTAAATTCCTTGAGGGCAAGGACTGTCTTGTCTCTTTTTATATCCCTAGCACTCAGCACAGTGCCTGGCACAGAGTAGGTGCTTAATGTTTATTTAAGTGAATTTAATTTTCTTGGAGTATGTAACCACGACATGACCGAAAACCTCCCCAAACTTTTCAACCCTGTTACTAACTACTGTTGATACACATGGACAAAAACAATATGACAAAAAAAGAATCTAGAAAGCATTACTAAAAGTTACAAAGTTTTGAACAAGAAATTTAACACACATTAACGACACAAAAGCTAGCTGAACTCAAGGCAGAATTCAGAAATATCTGGGAAGACTTGTAGGAAATGATACCACCTAAAATTAGAAGAACCAGAAGAACCATTTGCACAATGACTACAACCCTGTAAAGAAAAATAACTTTGAAATACTTAAGAACTACAACTCCAGAGGTCCAATGATGAAGCATGCTACCCAACTCTTAATAGAAAGGTGACTGATAAAATATGCAGAACAAGACGCATCTTTTTAGAGAAGGCCATTCTTTTTGTGGATTTATTTTGCTTGACTATGCTTATTTATTAAAAAGGGACTGTTGTTTTTAATTAGGGAATAGGGTCATTGGAATGATAGAGAGGCTAGTTAACAAAATAGAAAAGAGGTTCTTTTAAGCATTATATATGCACTCTAGAAAACAGAAGGAAGATCAGAAAGAGGTACAAACAACAGGACAAAACTCATTATTTTTCCTCCCAAACCCTTCCCTCTTTCCAATTTCCCTAACACTATCAAAGTTAACACCATCCTCCCATTCACCAAGGGTTGCAACCTCATTGTGATCTTGGATTCCTCACTTGCACTTGCCCCACATACCCAATTTGCTGCCAATTTTGTTGTTTCCTCCTTCATATGTCTTCCATGTCCTTTTCTCTCCACTCACACAGCTGACAAACACTACGTACAGGTACTTATCACCTCACACCTGGATTACTGCAACAGCCTTTGGGTTGGTCTCCCTTCCAAGTCTCTCTCCATTCTAATCTATCCTCCACTCTGCGGCAAATGAGCTTAAAGAACTTGTCTGACTATGTGTCCCTCCTCACCGCCCCCCCCCAGAAAAAAACAATGGTATTAGGTGACTCCCTATTACCTCAAGGATCAACTATAAAGTCCTCTGTTTGGCTTTTAAAGACCTTCACAACCTGGCCCCTTTCTACTTCCCGAGATCTCGTAGACTTTACTCCCTTCCACATTTTCAACAATGACCTTCTAAGGTTACCTTCCATTTAACACTGCATATAACTTATATGCACATAACTGTTTACATGTTGTGTCCTCCATTAGAATGGGAGCTCTTTGAGGTCAAGCACATTGTTTTTGCCTTTCAATGTAATCCCAATTCACAGCAAGAAGACCGGCATAGTGTCCACTGACAGGTTTGAAACTAATATGTTAAATTTATTATATACTTAAAAAAATAAGCTATATATGATAGAGTTGTGGTTTTAAATATAATTCTATTTTTCTGTCCTTTGTACGTGAAAATATTCTCTCTTTCTTTTTTTTTTCTGGAGGGGTATTTGTCAAGTTTTCCTTAAGAGAAGCAAAAAAATAAAAGTTACTAAAAAAAAAAAAAAAGGTGGTGAACAGAGTTTTCATTTCTGGACCTTTATTTTTTAAAATATGGAAATGATATACTTCATCTCTAGCCAGGAGCCTCCTAATAAGCAAAGTCTGGTAAAAATGTTTGCGTAGTTTTACAATTCTAATAAAAAAGGATGTAAACTGAAAAGGGGAACAGAAAGAAAAAAATGTCTATACTAGACACAATAGAGTAGCAACAATGTAAGACATATTACAGCAAGAGATATACAGAATAATTCATAATAAACAAAATCCAACAAGGAAATTAACAATATAGTTATATATTGGCTTCAGCTGTATATTCAAATGCAAAATATGGAAAACAAGCAATGTAAACTAGAGGTCCTAATGCAAAGAAGTAAATTTTTATATAGTATTTTAACCTATATTGGGAAAAATAGGATCAAAGAAGAGGTAGAACTTAGCCATGAAAGACTCATGCAAGTAAATGGACAACAATCACAGAACGAGGAGGTAGGATTTTTTTGATGATCGATAAATGAAGGAAGACCCTCATCACTGAAATCACAGACCCAAGCCATTGAAGTGAAATTAAGTGTTTACTCTACTTTATAGTAGTTAAATGTGGACTTAAACTGAGTCTACAACCAAAGAAAATAAGGAAGCTTTCTCTCCCGATACAAAATATGTAAAATACAACAGAAATTTGTACTCCAAATACACCAATACATATGCAATACAACAAAGAAAAGCATTTTCCTACATTTTTTAGTTCCTCAATACTTTCAGTAGCTATTCTGTCAAGCAAAGATAATATAAAGGCTCAATAAGAGCAAAGATTATTTCATAGCAAAACTCCATATTATCCCAGCACCTAGCATTGTTCTGCACACAACAGATACTTAATAAATGTTCTGTCAGATTTTTTTCCCAACTACCCAGTTACTTATTGAATACCTAAATATAGGCTAAGAAATTATGCGAGCTATTTTGAGATGAAACAAATTGTACTTCAAATGGTCTCCGCCTACCCTTCAAGATTTTTAAATCTTATTGGGGAGCTAAGACTTTAACATAAAAACAATTATGGGCAACCACCATTAAAACATTATGTTACTAATCATATTAAGGAGTTCAAAGAATTTTGTGGTCACTGTGGGCTGGGAAAAATCAGGGAAGGCTTCTTGGTGGAGCTTGGATTGAAACTAGAAGAGTAGAATTTTAACTAGAGGAAGAGAAAGAGTAAGGGAAAACAGCATTCCAGTTAGGAGAAAGAATGAACAGTGAAAAGAACTTAGGATGAGAATGGCTTATATAAAATCAGTGAAGTGGTCAACCAAACCATTTCCATGCCTTTGTATTGGCTGTCTTCTACACTTATAATACTCTTCCCCTCCTTTACCTCTGCCACTTTGTTTCCCTGGCTTCCCTCAAGATTCAGCTCAAATCCTATCTTCTGTAGGAGGCTTTTCCTGGAGCTCTCCCCCATCCCAGCTTCTAATGCCTTCCCCTCTAAAACTGTTTTCCTTTCACTATTTATAATAATATATACCCACTGATTTATGCACCCTTTAAGAGAAAGAAAGCACCTTAAGGACAAAGACTATCTTTCTTCTTATCCCCAGTGCTCAGCACAGTGCCTGGCAGATAGTAAGCACTCTGACAAATGTTTGCTGACTGACTGACAAAGTATGGCAAAATAATATTGTACAAAAAGTGATGCTTATTGTTAAAATCCTTGAAAACCAGGCAAAGAAGTAGGAATTTGATTTACCAAGTAATAAGGGGTAATGTAGGCACTTTATTAAGAAGGAAAAATAAGAAAAACTAGTTTTGGGAAATATCCTTGAAAGACAATTTTTAAAGGCTTAAAAGATTTGAGAACATTTTAAAGAATTTACCTATAAATCGGTCAACTCCAGCTGAAGGTACTCCAGTGCTTGTTGTTGAGCCAGGAACATAACGACCCGAACCTAAAACATAATACTGGAATTAGCAGCATCTATTCAAATTATTTTATTTTCAAGTAAAAACTGTTTCTTACATAGCATTTTCTTTTGCATTCCACATGATTTTTTTCAATACCACATAAGTACAAAATACATATATTTGAATAATTTCACTGGAACCATGATTTTATCCAACATGGGTCTCCTAGCACTATTTAAAATAGAAATATAATTAACCATGAATAAATCCTGAAGGTGGGAACATCCATTTTGCACATCATATTACTTTTAAATTACATTTACAAAAGACCTCTGGCAATCAGATGAGTGACCAATAGGTAAGTGGTTTTTGAACTGAATTGCTGACTGGAGAAAAGTTACTATGGAAATGCTTCCAGTACAAGATGGAATTTGAGTAGTACTGTGGATAAATTAATGGACATGATTGGCTGCTAAGATAGGATAACACTTGTAGTTGCATGTATGATGGATTTTAAGGTAAAGATACTGCTACAAAAGCCAAACATTAGTTAGCTAAGAGAGTGAAATATACCTAGTTCTGACAAAAAGGAAGAAATTCTCAATAAATACTTGTTTTTGACTTTCTTTGTAACCCCAATTCTTAGCACAGTACCTGGCATATTAAGGACTTAATAAGTGTTTGTTGACTTTTTAAATGGACTGCTTCTTGAAAATAAGTAAAAAAAAAATGAATCAAAGGTGATCCCAAATTTTATGAACCTGGAGGAGCTTCGAAGATAGTAGTGAGATAATAGAAATGGGAATTGGGGTAATAAAGAATGAGGTCACAGAAATCAGAAGAGAGAAGGTAATGAATTCTGATAATATGTTGGCTTAAGGGACAGTGGCATAACCAATTGAAGGATCTAGCAGAAAGCATTAACTATAAGACAAAGAGAAGATGAAAAGACAATTATTAGGAATATAGATTTTAAAGAGATATATGAATAGATCATTTCCCCAATATTTCTTAAACCAAAAAGTATTACATACTCAAGGGTAAAATATCAACAACCCTGCCCTTTACCTGTAAAAGGATCTGCAGCAGCTAACATGTCTGATCCAGAAGAAGAACCTGGAACATAACGACCACCACCTGTAGAGTTTAAAAACAAAAATGAAAACTTGTATCATCAAGCAAATTAACAAAAATTATCTCGTAATTCTGCCCTGTAATGTTTTTATACAGTCTGTTTATTTATTTAGGAACAGATATAAGTCAAAAGATCAAGCATAAGGAAACTGAACAATGTAGGACAGTTTCCTGAAGGCAAGAAGTATGTATCTATAGATCATTTTTTACTATGTATACACACTGCTCTTCACATCACTGACCACCTCCATCCCACCCCCCAAAAAAGATATGTAACTACAAAAAAACAAGTTTGCAAGTGAAAAGAACTAAATGAGAATTTTGGGGCTAAAATGAGTTATCCTGCATGCAGCTACAATACCGAAGTACTCTTATGCCATGCCAATGTTTCACAGCAGGGCTTGATATAAGAGCACCAGGGTTGAAAAAGTACAAAGTTCTTCAGTTCTTAAGTAGATCAATCCTTACTGTTTTATTTTCAGTCAAATTAAACTGATAAAGTTGAAGAGTTTCAAAACAAGTAAAAGTGGAATTAAAATTAATTTCCTATTACAAATGACCCATACTCTGATAATCTTGGGAGGAATTGGAGCTGATAGCCCCAGAAGAATTTATTAAGTGTCTACTATGTCCCAGACACTGTACTAAGTGTTTTATAAACATTATCTCATTTAAAATGAGGTGGTAATATAGCCAACCTCTGGCACCTTGACTCATCAGTGGGGGGAGAGTTTGGATAAGGAACCTTAGACCTCACATGGACTACATGTGGGTCCCTAGATCTTAGTTATATCATACCTTTAGGAAGGATTCTCTAATGCCACTGCTATGTTCTCCCTCCACTCTCATCTGGATTATCTGTTGAGAATCATTTAGTAAACCAGCCTTAAGTCTATTTTAGAACAGTTTATTTATTAAGGTGGCACATTAGGAATAGTCAGGATAAGACAATCCATTTTAAAGTTTAGAGCTTTTCAAAAATTTGTTTGTTCAGAGGTAGAAGCTGATCCTGGAGAATCTGAGAGAAGACTGGCTTGAAATGGAAAAGAAGAGGGGCTGAATCTATGATTTCATTTATATAGGGAACTACTGGATAAGGAAACTCCCTCCACTAATGCAGATCAGCATTTACTTTTCGACTTAGTCTCAGAGATTGCCAAAAGCACCGAGTGGTTAAGTCACTTGACAGTACAATATAGCATGTGCCATGAACAGGACTTGAATCTAGGTCTTCCTGGTTCATATGACCAACCCTCTAAAATTCTACCAAATACAGAGTAGTTTGGCTAACAAATATTTTTTTTTTTTTTAGAAATAGGTCTGTTATCTATCAAAGCTAGAATTAAGCACAAGCATATAAAATTGAACAAATAGGCTTTTCATTCTACAAGTCATTTTAAGTCATTACTTTAGAACTCTGAATGGATTTTCTCATAGAGATCATGTTATCTTCCAAAAGATTAAGGAATATATAAATAAATATGAATTCATTCAATTAGGTTGCATCCCTGGCACCTGAAATTATTAATACTTGGGGAATTTGAAATTTTAACTGTACACAAATTTGGATCAAGAAACAAATCTGGGAAGCAGACCTGGGTAGGATTGCAGAGTGACAGCTTTAATGCAATGTAAGCAGATCTTGCACTTATGGGCCTGGGAAAGATAAACATTAAAAAGTTTGGGGTCAGCGAAGGAATGCAGAAAAAAGTGAGGACAAGTTTAAACAAAATTACACTCATTTAAAAATTCAGCTTAATCCTAACCCTTGCACTCAGTAGAAAAATTAAATTCTCTTCCTCCTGCTTTTCCTGTATCACATGACCCTCTTCACCCAGGACCTAAAACTCAAGCTAATATTATTATTACTGAAGTTCACTTATATCATACATTAAATAGACATTTGTTTGGATGCCCAAAGAACATAATCACTACTGAGATAACATGATCTCTATGAAAAAATCCATTCAGAGTTCTAAAGTAACGACTTAAAAACTTGTAGAAAGAAAAGCTATTTGTTCAATTTTATATGCTTGTACCTAATTCTAGCTTTGGGAGATAACAGACCTATTAAAATATTTTATATAAGAACCAGATTTCAAAATTTTCATTCCCAAAGTTCTTCTACAACTTCAAGGAATCTCATATTTTGAAAACTTTTTTTTAACGAGATAACAATCTGAGACATTATCATTGTGAAGACATTTTTAAAATAAATTCTAGATAATCTAGGTGTAGTTAATTATTTTTGAAGTGATTTGTAGCTGTTTTTATATGGAAACTACAGTATAAAACTTTAGGTTCATTACTACAAATTCACATATTTATCAACCTGTTATGGAGCTAAAGTTTTAAAAATAATTTGTTAGATCTCTTATGCAGGCCAAAGAAAAGGAACCCATCTCTTCTCCTACTCAAAAAAAATAAAGTCAACTATTACTAATAGAGGTATAATATGCCTCTACCCTTACCTGTAAATGGATCTGAAAAGTCAGTGTTCACATTTCCTAATGTCTGCCCTTTTGTGTTATCAATAATAAATTTGGCCACTTGATCCAAAAACATGGGATTTAGGTCATTCTTCTGCAAAAAGTTGTATGCTGTCAACCAAGGATCATCACTGGTATTATATGGCAACTTATAGGAAGGCCCGCTTTCATTGACATCAATGGTAAAAACATAATCAAATTCCTTTAAAAATAAATACAAGGGGAAATGGTTTGACAATAATTGTTTTTTTCACCATCAGTCTAATGTTACACAAATAAGAGCAAGTATGAAAAATTACAGGTGTCTAAATAGTTGTTTATTAAAACATCAAGTTGTATTAGCATGTTTATCCAGTACCTTAAATGCCTGACTTTTAAAGCATATTAATTTTTTAAAAGCATGAATACAAGTTTACCTTATTATTAATAACAGACATTTACATACATTTCAAAGTTTGCAAAGTGTTTTTTATAGGTTATCTCATTTAAGCTTCACAGCAACCTTATGAGGTAATTACTTAAAATTTTATTATTTTCATTTTATGGACTAGAAAACTGAGCTTTTGACAGCTTAAGTAATTTTCCTCCCAGTCACACAACTAGTAAATATCAAACGCAAATCTCCTTAATGACAATTACAACAGACTAACTACTAGGCCTGGAAAAAAAAATAGCTAGTATTTGTATAGTACATTAAGTTTTGTAAAAAGCTTTACAAATATTCTCTCATTTGACTCTAATGTACACAGTAAAAAGTGATAACCCCCTTAACTGATTGTTGCATCTACACATTTCCCCTCCACCCTCCCTATCCACCCTCACCTTTTTTGTACTCTTAAAAATCAAAGGCAGGAGTCCTCAACAACATGTTGACCATGATCAAGTGATTCTGGCTTTCAAATATTGACCCTTCAGGAGAGCAACCTGTTGGCTACCTCCACATCTCCCTGATTTAAATGTCAACTGCTCATGAAGGGCACTGCAGGTCCTCACCACAAAAATGTTGAGATCCCTGAACTAAGACATAAAAGGCAGCTAAAATTTCTATATCTAGAAAGAAATAAGATCTATGTTAGAAAATATGAGAGAGAAAAAAATAGAATAAAAAGTTTGCTTCGTTGTGAAACATTTTTTTTTTAAAAAACCCACACCCCCAGAAATCTATACTGGTTGCTCAAGTAAGCAAGGTACAGAGATAACTTCCAATTTCCTACAAATCAGTAATAAAACAATGGTTAACATACTTTTCCTTCATATAAAACTCTTCCAGAAGTTTGCTGATTAGCTCCAGATGAGCCAACAACATCACCAATCTTCAACCACCTTCCATCACTAACACTCCACTGATAGGCTTCAACTTTCTCCCCATCTCTGATCAGACGTGTCTGTCCCTCTCTAGTACCTTGAAAAAAAAATTAAAGGATCACAAATACTGAAGAACAAAACACAATGTTAGAAACAAAGATTCTCAATCCTTAAAAGTATATGGGAAAAATTAACACATTTTATCTTGAAGATTTTTTTTATTTTCATCTAAAACAACAAAATGTGATTCTAGTCTTAATCTCAAATAGACATTCACATTGAACAAATAACTGACAAAATCAGCAAAAAAAAAAAAATCAGATAATATTTTACTACCTATCTACACTTTCTGGGCTAAACAGATAAAATATCAGTATTAATTTGTGAGGCTATATTTTATGCCACATAAAACTCCCAATATTGTCTCTAACAATGGACAACAACAATGCATTTTTTTTTGTTTAGGCAATTGGGGTTAAATGACTTGCCCAGGGTCACACAGCTAGTAAGTGTCAAGTGTTTGGTCTAAGGCCGGATTTGAACTCAGGTCCTCCTGACTTCAAGGTTGGTGCTCTATCCACTGCACCACCTAGCTGCCCCTATCAAAACATATTTTGAGAGAACATATTACATAGCTTCTCATTTTGGCTAATATCACTAACTTCTCCCTAACTTGAATTTATTCTTAGGCTAAGAATTTATTTTAACTTGAATCTATTTCTATTTTAAGCCTGTCAGCAGAGTGATTAATTCAACTAATATTAATTGGCCACATGCTGGAGGCTTATAAACAATAGTTTAAGGAACTATGCCCACAGGAAGTTTACAATTTAGATAAGAAGACAATCTGGACACAAAGTAACCAGTGAACAAGGAAGCCTTAACTGGAAAGAGCCTCAGAACTAGTCCACAACACCCACAATTCTATAGGTGAGGAAACTGAGGCCCAGAATGATTTATGTGACTTGCCAATGGTCTCACATCGACTAAGAGCTAGACTACAAAGTCACATACTAAAGTAATAGATTTGGTAAAAACACAAGCAGAACATTCCTCAAAGCAATTAAGTGATACATGATGTTATCATTTGCCATATGGAATATCTAGTAAAAAAGAAAATTTTACCACAGAGATTCACTTATGAAAAAAGAACATCAGGGAACTACCTACTACATATATGGCACTGCTCAATTATATAATTTCTCATATGGTATAAAATGAAGCATTAAAAATGAAAATAAATGAAACAATTTTACTCATCCTTTCATCTCCTCATAGCATCTTGCACCCAGAGAGCAGAGTTCTAACATTCAACTAACTTAAAATCTAGTCTTAAAGTTAAGATACATAGACAAATACAAAATCAAAAGCACCTTCATAGGAGATACAACAAGGATTATATGAAAGCACAAACAAAACAATGAGAGATTGCATGGTACAAAAGAAAAACACTGGAATCAGTAAAATTGAGGTCCTTGAGCAATTTCTCCTCTCTGGGTTTCCGTTTCTTTAACTGAAAAAAGAGAGGAATGAACTCAATTGTCTCCTACCTACCTTTAAGGTCTAATGATCTATGAACCTGAAAGTGCAAATAACTCCTGAGGAAATTTCTAACTCTCAGACACAATAAAAATCTTACCACCACCCAATTTCTAGACTTCTTGTTGCATTTTTGATAGCAGGATATTGCTGTTTTTACAAAGGAGAGATCACTGGAGAAAATAAAATGAAAGAAGCACTCCTTTTCTATTCTCAGCCTCAAGTTCAAAAAGTAACACCCTCAATATAAACAGCAAGTTTTCAAAAGAAGAAATGCAAGCTATCAACAACCACCTGAAAAAATGCTCCAAATTACTAAGAGAAAGTCAGATGAACACAATACAAAGATTATCATAGATGGCAAAAGGGGAAGAATGGCAATTGTTGGGAAAGGCAGTAGAACAGGCACATTAACTCAAAACTGGTACTGTTAAAATTTTCATGTTTGTTGATATTAAGTTCAAAACAATACCCTTATACCCTTATTATACCAAGTAGATACTAGTAGTATATATGTATAACCTTTTTCTAATTTCCATTTTAATGGGCTGGCTTTGAATAGTTCAGTTATATATTCTTGGAAGAGCAATATGGTTCTATCCCAAGAATTTTTTTTAAGTTATTATTGTTGTTAAATCATTTTTCAGTCATGTCTGACTCTTCACGACCTCATTTGGGGTTTGTTTGGCAAAGAGACAATTTACTAAAACTTCAGAGTCAAAAGCAATAAAAAAATCATGAAACATGTAGTATGTAAGTCTCTGTCTCCTCACAGACATGTACCGAGAGAAATGAGGGAACTCATCAGTATTGTTTTTACTCAGTATTAAATCTCAAATTAGTGATTAAGAGCTACTATCTGGCATTTCAAGTACAATTTTGAAAAATTAACAGTCACTTCCATATGAATTATCCAAAATCCTCCCACAAAAGGCAAAGATTTTTTTGCCCAAGAAACAGTATTTACCAGGTTCATTCAGATGCTCTCTTCCTGGAAGCTGGTCAGCATCAATATCTCCCAAATCACCAGTTTTTGAATCAATAGTTGCCCGAGAAAGTTCATTTTCAAAGGCCTGAAGTTCTTCGAGACTGGCTGTCCGTTCCACTGATTCTGTAAACACTCTGATAATGCCATCACTGTAAAATCAATAAATAAATGAACTTATTTTACTTCATGTTAGTGTATGCTGACGATTTCATGAATCAAAAATATAATGCTGCGAAAATGTAAACATTTCTAAAAAGCTGACAAGTGAGGGGCCAAACTGGTAAGCATGTATATCTAATACATAGGTATATATCTATGTATCAAAGAGCCAAAAAAAAAAAAATAATAAATAATAATGGCAAGAGCAATAGTCTCCATGAGCATAGTGCTGAATATTTATACCTTTTATTACTTTGTAGGCAACTCAACAGGGAGAAAATCTGATCATTTGTAGGTAAAATTTATAGAAAATATATACTTTGGTTTTCAAACTCAAAGTTTGGTTTGATTTCAAACCCATTCAGACATTACAAACTCAGATATGAATATTTAATGATTACCCTATATCTATTAAGTGACTCATCGTTTCGATATGACTAACAAATCATATTTCATGTAAATTTCCTTCAATTTATGATTGTTTAGAACAGATTTTACATGTATCTTTTATTCCTGAAAGTATACCTGTTCTCTAAAATTAACTTTTCCAACCTGTCAAATCTTATCACCTCCCTTCCAAGATACTTGCTTTCCACATTTAACATCAACCTCTTTACCATCTTCAATCTTTCCCCGTATCCTCAAACATGCTTTGTAACTTGTTACTTTAACAATAAAAATCCCGTCATCTGACCCTGCTCAATTTCTCTTACTGTTAAGTTTTTTTTGCAAGAGTGACTTATTCCTCTTGCTTCTAACTTGTCACCATTTAGTTCCTCCTTAACTGCTCCCTGCTATCTATTTTTTAATCTCCTTCCTTTTGCTATCACTACACTTAGGTTACCAAACCAAATGAAAACTCCATTGAGTTTTCTCTATTTGCTTTCTCCTGACATCAAACAAGCACTTAAAACTCTTTTATTTACATGAAATAACACTCTTTCCTGGTCTTACTATATTTCACTCTTCTTCCTCATCCTATCTCCTATCTGTGCAGATTTCAGGATCACAGGATTTAAAGCTGGAAAGGTCCTTAGAAGTCATCTTGTCCAACCTCTTCATTTCACAGATGAGGAAACTAAAGTATTAACAGAGGTGTGAAGCAAATTCTTAAAACTTTAAATCCAATTTTTTTCTATTATATCCCAAGGTCCTTATCCTCTGCTCTTCTCCCTTTGCCATACCTTCCAGAGGGAACTGCCCTACTTCACACAGTAAGTGGCCAATCTGGAATTTGAATTCAGGTCTTGTCACTAAATCCAGCACTCTTTCCACTTCACTACTTTACCTGAGGTCTCCACCAGAGATTCTTTAAGTCTATGTTCCAATTCCTATTTCCTGTGTATAAGACAATTTTTATGTAGCTGACCTATTACCAGATTAACCTCAGTAAGTCTAAGATCAGACTCATACTTTACTGAAAATTTGCCTCTTTTCCAGATTTTCCTATTTCCTTTACCAGCACTGTCACTCCTACAATAACCCAATCTCTAAACTTTTTACTCATCCTTCTTAGTACAGTCAGTGCCCAAGTTCTTTTTTTCCTTTGAAATTTTTCTAATAAACAATTCCTCCCTTTCTATTCCTGCAGTTACAATCAGTAGAAACTCTAAATGGGGGTTAAATAAACAAAGGTTCTAGTCCTGACAACCAAAAACTAGCTGTGTAATCTCAGTCAAGTCACATAACCCCAGTGAGTTTTGTTTTCTTCATCTGTAAAACAAAGGCGTTATCTCCAACAAGAAGCTTAGAGATACAGTAGCGGAGATTAATAGTTCAAGTAATGGGTAGACTAGATGACTTCTTTGGTACCCTTCAAATCAGAGATTCTATTATTCTAAATATTTCTGTCAAAGTTTCAAGGCTTTCAATAATTCAGTTGCATTTTACTTATCCAAATGGGTTTCCTGATACTCTCTTATGTATAATTTCTGTTTCAGTCACGCCTGTCTTTTTACTGTCCCCCATATATATCACTGCCCACTTCCAACTTCCAACAGAATGTAAATATTCCGTTTACACCTGAAATGCCTCTTTAATCCTTCAAGACTATAAACTCCAGTCACAGTTACTCCATGAAATCTCTAACCATACTAGCCCATACTGATCTCAAACTTTTAAAATGCCTTTTGCACCATCTGTACTGCATAATTCATTTTACAAGAGTATGTTATGCCAATATACTACACACAGAATAAGAATGCTATCTTTTCACTAACTTTCAGGTATACTTGTGTTACGCTAATTCAAGGGTAAATTATTTGAGCAAGACTCATGTCTTATTATGTTATTACATCTCACAATACCTAATGCACTAATACCTAGGCACACAGTAAATGCTTAATACTTTAAACTGATATTTGAATACCTCGCACCAACCACAATGTCACCATTTTCTAGCACACAGCAGCACCAAATAGACTGTGCTGGAAGTCTGATTGTTTGGGTACATTCCCCATCTTTCCAGATTCTCAGAGATCTGTCTTCTGCTGTTGTCACAAAATCTAAAATGAACACAGGAACAATTAGCTACAATAACTAAGATGAATGAATACTTATACACAGTAAAACAATGCTCTCCCTTGCTCCCTCCCCACCCTACTCACTGAGAAGGCAAGCAATTTGATATAGATTATACATGTGTAGTCATGCAAAACATATTTCCATATTAGTTACGTTGTGAAAGAAAACATAGACAAAAAAACTCTTAAGAAAAATTTTTAAAAAAAAAGTAAAACATGCTTCAGTCTGTATTTAGACGCCATCAGTTGTTTCTCTAGGGACAGATAGTATGTTTCATCATAAGTCCTTCGGCGTTATCTTGGATCACTGTATCGCTGAAAATAGCCAAGTCATTGACTGATCATCTTACAAAGACTGCTGCTACTTTGTACGCAGTATATTTCACTTTGCATCAGCTCATGTAAGTCTTTCCAGGTTTTTCTGACAGCATCCTGCTCATCTTTTCTTATAGTATTCCATCACAATCATACGGCACAATTTGTTCAGTAATTCCCCAATTGATGGGCATCCTATCATCCTATCAGACCTAAAAGTAATAGTGGTACTGCCAGGTAAAAGGGTATGAAAGATTTTATAGCCCTTTGGGCATAGTTCCAAATTGCTCTAAAGAATGGTTCAATCAGTTCACAATTCCACCAACAGTGCATTAATGGCTCATTTTTCCCACATCCCCTCCAACATTTTTCATTCTCCTTTTCTGTCCTATTAGCCAACCTAATACAGGTATGAGGTAGTACTTCAGAATTGTTTCAATTTGCCTTCCTCCAATTAACAGTGATTTAGAGCGCCTTCTTATATGGCTACAGCTTTTTGATACTTCATCTGAAAACTGTTCATATCTCTTGATTATTTATCAGGTAGGGAAACAGCTCCTGAGTCAAATTTGACTCAGTTCTCTATGTATTTGAGAAATAAGGCCTCTACACGAAAAAAACTTGCTCCAAAATTTTTTTTAGTTATGATTGCTAAATGTATTTCCCTCCATCCTATTTCCCCCACCCCTGTTTATTCTATTCTCTCTTTCACCCTGTCCCTCCTCAAAAGTGTTTTGCTTCTGACTACCACCTCCCCCAGTCTGTCCTCTCTTCTATCAGCCCCCCCCCTTCTCTTAATCCCTTCCCCTTCTACTTTCCTGTAGGGTAAGACAGATTTCTATACCCAATTGAGTACATATGTTATTCTCTCTTCGAGCCAATTCTGATAAGAGTAAGGTTCACTTATTCCCCCTCCACTGTAAAAGTTTTTCTTGCCTCTTTTATGTAAGATAATTTACCCCATTCTACCCCTCCCTTTCCCTTTCTCCCAGTGCATTTCTTTCTCACCCCTTAATTTTTTTTAGATATCATTCCTTCATATTCAACTCACACCTATGCCTTCTGTCTATATATACTCCTAACTGTCCTAATAATGAGAAAATTTTTATGAGTTACAAGTATCATCTTCCCACGTAGGAACGTACACAGTTTAACTTTATTAAGTCCCTTATGATTTCCTTTTCCATGCTTCTCCTGAGTCTTGTATTTGAAAGTCAGATTTTCTATTCAGCTCTGATCTTTTCATCAAAATGCTTGAAAGTCCTCTATTTAATTGACTATCCATTTTTCCCCTAAAGGATCACACTCAGTTTCGCTGGGTAAGTGAATCTTGGTTGTAATCCTAACTCCTTTGCCCTCTGGAATATCATATTCCAAACCCTCCAATTCTTTACTGAAGAAGCTATGAAATCTTGTGTTATCCTGACTGTGGTTTCACAATACTTGAATTGTTTCTTTCTCTCGGTTTGCAATATTCTCTCTTTGACCTGGGAGTTCTGGAATTTGGCTATAATATTTCTAGGAGTTTTCATTTTGTGATCCCTTTCAGGAGGTGAACAGTGGATTCTCTCATTTTCTATTTTACCTTCTGCTTCTAGGCTATCATGGCAGTTTTCCTTGATAATTTCTTGAAAGATGATGTCTAGGTTCTTTTTTGATCATGGCTTTCAGGTAGTCTAATAATTTTTAAATTATCTTTCCTGGACCTATTTTCCAGTTCAGTTATTTTTCCAATGAGATATTTCACACTGTCTTCTATTTTTTTCATTCTTTTTATTTTGTTTTACTGTTTCTTAATTTCTCATAAAATCATTAACTTCCATTTGCTCAATTCTAATTTTTAAGGAATTATTTTCTTCAGTGAGATTTTGTTCCTCCTTTTCCATTTGGCCAATTCTACTTCTAAGGATTTTTTTTCAGTGAATTTTTGTGTTTCTTTTTCCATTTGGCCAATTTTGCTTTTCAAGGCATTCTTCTTCTCATTGACTTTTTATACCTCTTTTACTATATGACCTAGTCTGTGGGTTTTTTTTAAAAATAGCACTTAATTTTTTCCCCCAATTAGATGTCAACAGTTTTTAGCATTCATTTTTTATAAGAATTTGAATTCTAAATTTTTCTCCCTTCCCCTCCCCTCTTCCTAAAATGGTAGGCAATTTGGTTATTCATGTGCTATCATGTAAAACTTATTTCCATATGAATCACAGTTGTGAGAGAAGAAACAGATCAAAAGGAAAAAAAAAAGAATAAAATAAGTGAAAAAAGTATGCTTCAGTCTTCATTCAGAGTTTATCAGTTCTTTATCTGGATGTGGTTAGCATTTTCTTTCATCAGTCCTTTGTACTTGCCTTGGATCACTGTGTTGCTGAGAAGAGCTAGGTCATCTATAGTTGATTATCACACAATATTGCTGATACTGTGTACAATGTTTTTCTGGTTTTGCTCATTTCACTTTGCATCAGTTCATACAAGTCTTTCCAGGTTTTCCTGAAATCAGCCTGTTCCTCATTTCTTATTGCACAATAGTATTCTATTACATTCATATACCACAGCTTGTTCAGCCATTCCCTAATTGATAAACATCCCCTCAATTTCCAATATTTTACTGCCAAGATAAGGCCTGCCATAAATATTTTTGCACATGTAGGTTCTTTTTCCTTTTGTATGATCTCTTTGGGATAAAGACCTAGTAGTAGTATTGCTAGATCAAAGGGTATGCACAGTTTTATAGCCCTTTGGGCATAGTTCCAAATTGCTCTCCAGAATGGCTGGATCAGTTCACAAGTGCATTAGTGCATTAGTGTTCCAATTTTCCCATGTCTTCTTCAACATTTATCATTTTCCTTTTCTATCATATTAGCCAATCTAATAGGTGAGAGGTGGTACTTCAGGGTTGTTTTACTTTGTATTTCTCTAATCAAAAGTGATTTAGAGCACTACTTCATATATGCTTATAGATAATTTTGATTTCTTCATCTGAAAACTGCCTGTTCATATCCTTTGACCATTTATCAATTAGGGAATGGCTTATACGATTATAAATTTGACTCAGTTCTCTATATATTTGAGAAATGAGGCTTTTATCAGAGACACTTGCTGTAAAGACTTGTTTCCCATCTTTCTGCTTTCCTTTTATCTTGGTTGCATTGGTTTGTTTGTGCAAAAGTTTTTTAATCTAGCATAATCAAAATTACTTATTTTACATTTCATAATGCTCTCTAGCTCTTGTTTGGTCATGAACCTGTAACTCACTTAACTTCTACTCTAAGAATTTGGATGCTATACCACTTGGTGCATATGTTTAGTACTGATATTACTTCATTGCCTATGGTACCTTTTAGCAAGATGTAGTTTCCTTCCTTATTTCTTTTAATTTGGTCCATTTTTGCTTTTGCTTTGTCTGAGATCAGGATTGCTACCCCTGCTTTTTTTTTACTTAGATGTAGCATGATATATAAGCACTGAACTGTTCCCTACTCTCACCCAGGTGCAACAGACCTTTCCTGCTGATCTTCTAAGTTGTCTTTGGCTAGAAAATTATTTCACCCTGTCCTTTTATGGGTTCTGTTGCTTCAGGAGTTGTTTATGGGGTTTTGGGGAGAGTTCAAGCAAATCACTGCCTTTTCTCCAGCCATCTTGGCTCCACCTCCTATAATATTTTTTTCCATTTTTCTAATTACACTAGGCTTTTTCTAGTGTACAGGGTCAAGACATGGATACTACAATGACGAATGAGTCTGCAAAGGTGGTCCCTGAATTCCAAAGTGATTCTGCTAACCACTGTGTTTATTCTATATAATCTACTCATGACTGGCATAACCAAAAGTGTCTAGGATATGCCTCTATAAAGGCCCCAGCTCCCTTTGTCCTCCTGAATGTAAAAACAACTCCAGCATTAACTAACTTTGGCAACTGCAACAAGCCAGAAATTCTGGGTAAGGCAGTTCTCTCCTAGACACATACTTCAATAAGACCAGAACCAATAACTAAAATTCAAGCGGCAGGAGACAGGGCCAATCTAATGTTCTCAATATTTCTTAATATTCTAAATTTACTCAATATCCTTTGTCTATTAGTTCACTTTGTATACTACCAAATAAACTCCATAGTTAGATCAACCTACTATTGAGTTCTTTCTCTGCTCCCTGAACTCTCAGACCACAAGAGCACATGTACACTACAATTTATTTCCTACATGAAAATACATGAAAATGTATTATGACCCTTCATTTCACTATATTTCCAGCTATTCCATTAGAAAACCATGGATCATACCAATAAATAAATCATATAATTTTTTTCTGAGGTCTAAGATCTTTCAATCTTGTAATTATTAGCTTGCATTGATATACAGAACACATACCTTTCTCTGTCAAGAGAATGAATTATTAAGTAGGATATGAAGTTACTAAAATATCAAATAACTTATTGTTATTAAGAAGCTATTTTATGAAAAATGTCCATTACTATACTTTTCTAGTTATAGCATAAGAATCTTACCTTTACAATTTGGGAAAACAGATATACTATAAATATAATTTGTATGCCCATAAAATACTTCAAGACACTCGCCAGTGATTTGCCATCTTCTAATACTGGCGTCATTTGCACAGGAAAGAAATTCTGTTTCATTTAGAATTGCTAAACCTCTCACACAGTCTTCATGACCTTCACAAACAAAAAAGGAATTAACAAAGTGTCAGTAATTTGATGACTATACTATATGTTATTTATATAATACATTAAAGTATAGTAACAAATGATCTAGTGAGATTTTAATCTTTGAAGAGATGGAGGAATAAGTTTGTATTTTAGTTTTGACAATCCATCTGAAGCCTTACATGTATTTAATGTAAAATATAAATGTATTCTTTCAACATCTCTTCACATTTTCCACCTAAAAATTCTGAGGAAAATTACCTTTTGTTAAAGCATTTAAATATCAGATTTTACAAAGACCAAGTTGTTCTGAGCTTCAGTATGCAATACAACAAATTAGTAAGCTAAGTATGACAAATCTTATCAAATGTTTTATGTACTAAAATATTATAAGTCCTCAATTTACATATAGATATTTATTATATAATAAATATTTATAATGATATAATCTGACAAGATTATTACTATCAAAAAAGAATAAGACTTCATAGAGCCAACTGCCATGCATCAATAAATCAATAAAGAATTTATAAAGTACCTTCTATGTGACTGGTACTGTGCTAGATATAGAGGATACAAACATTAAAAGAAATAATTTCTACTCACAAGAACTTTACATTCTAATGGGGGAGGCAACAAGGACATATCCATAGAATAAATATAAAGACAATAAATGCAACCAAATACAAAGTAGTTAAATACAAGGTAATTTAAGGAGGGAATCAGTGATAGGCCTCATATTACCAATTATGGAAAGCATATAAGCTGTGCCACTTGGTAAAGAGTTAATAATTTTCATATTTTAAAAAAATGCCATACAAAGGATTCCTTAGAACACATTAATATGGTGCCCAAGTTCAATTTTCTTTTGCCAAGGCACATCATAGCTAGACTAGCAACAAAACTGATTTCTTCCAGAATTAACAAAGTCCCAAGTATTTCTTTTAAATGTGAAATATGAAACAGTGCTACTCTGTAATTACTATTTTCTCCTCAGTTTTTAGTGAAGTATATAATAGTTTCTCCTAATACTACTTGAGATAATTGCTAACTCTGAAAAATAAATTAATCCAAAGAGTATACAAAAAATCTTTTTTGTTCCTGTTTTGTCTAAATTTATGTAAAATCTGTGAAAACAGGTAAGAATCACTTTATTTTTAGAATTATCTAATAATTAAAGTTTGAAAAGTCTACCTTCTAGAACCACATTATAAACAATCCTGGCATTTTCTGGTGTGTTATGTTTACATTTAAAGTAAAGCAATAACAATTCTGCCACATAAATAGACAGATAGCAATTGGTATAGCATGGACTTGGAGTTTTCTCCATGATCTATATAACAGGGGCCAAGTTATGACCCCTTCAAATCTAACTACATAAAGAAAACAGTCAAAGTAATACAGTTCATAAAGAGGCCCAGAGATAAAGTGATTTACTTTGTTAATAAGGTGACAGCCAATCTAAGTGACAAAAGCCGGATTCAAACTCAGTTATTTTAATTCCAAATCTAGTATTATTTTAACTCCCCTATGCTACCTACTTAATTCTCTCACTATCAGATAGGTATACCAACTTAATCTTCATGTGAATGGTTTCACATAAACTAAAGCAATTTTGTTTCCTGTTCTTACCAGAGAATGTTCTTTCACACCTTCCAGCTTTCCAAAGTTTAATACTTTTGTCTGCTGATCCAGTCAACATTAAACCTTGTTCTGGCAATATCTTCACTGCCCATACTGCTGCTGTATGACCCTGTGAATAAGACTGGAATCAATCTAAGGGGTCAAAGAATGGTCATGCAACTAATGAGCCAGAGAATAATCACAAAACAGTTCAAGAAGACACTCAATTATTTATAATATTGACTATTCACAGAGAATTACTATACCTGTAATGTCATCATGCATTTGTCATTGAGCCAGACTTTGGCTGTAGTGTCCCATGAGCCACTAAGTAATGTTCCAAATTTTCCAGACGAAAGGCTACAAACTAGGGTGAAAAAAAAAATCAGTCAATATTTTTACATATTTCTGTCTTCAAATCTGATTTTATCTTTTAAAAAGGAAAAAAATTCAGCGTTCAATATGACTGCTTGCAGTATCTGAGTTTCTCATTTTTGAAAGGACATTGTAAGAGATATCTCAAAAGTGACTTTAGACTTAAAATTTAAGCAAATACATCTAGTCTTACGCAGTCCTTTTAGCTAAACTTCCTAGAAGGTAAAGGAATCCAATCATCCAAACCTCAAATTAATACTCCTTTTTAACAGTGCAATTAACAAAAACCATCAAAATTATGCCTCATTTTTCTGCTAGAAAAGAGGCATGGGTGAAAAAAAGGTCACCTGTCTCTAAAATTGCACATACTATATATTTAAAAGAAAATATAATTTTTTTCATTGAATTTGTAAAAGTTCAATTGAAGAAATTTAAAGTTCTCTGAAGTAGCAGGATTTTCCTCTCATGACATCCTTACATACCTCTATCTTCAACTGTAAAATTCAGATTATTTTTAAGATTAGAAAATCACTAAACTCTTTAGATTTGCACAGACTGGCATATCTTAATTTTTAAAGTTTAATAAAACCTAAAGAGATATGAGACAAGCATTGACTTAAAAGGAAAAAGAAAATACCAAGGATAATGACAAATAATATAACTTAAAATACATTTGCCATTCTTTCCATTCAGCCATATTTTGATGCTTATTTATTTTAGTATCTTCCATAATGCCTAGGGCATAGTAGGTACTCAAGGACTATATATTGATTAAATAAACCTCTATGAAGTATCACAGAAATTCCTTCCTCCATTCTTCTAGCTGGACCTCACCTTATTCCCTATACAGGAGAATACATCAAACATTCCCCTATTACATCCATAAGTAATTTCACCATACTACTGCCACCATAACGTGGCAGTGTGCACCTCAAACCATATATGCCAAAATGTACCTTGTGTTAGTTACTTAATTCTTTGATTTCCCTACTCTTCTAGGCTCTGAGCTCAAAGAGGAAAAGGGTCACATCATATTCTTTTTATCTGTTACTGTACCAAGGACGGTACCTTGATTATAGTCTGTACTCAGTAAATATTTGTAGGGCGAATTAAAAATCATTATAATAGTACCACAGAAAGACTAAAATAATTTATAGGCAATAAAAGTTTTTTTTTCTGAAAAAGAAAAAGTAAAATGCATTCACTAGTATCAAAATTAATGCCTATTTGACTACATCCACTCAAAGGATAATATGAAATTGCTAAGAAAAAGAAAGTTGTTGGGTTAAAAAACTAGTTAGTATATTTGACCTTTCCTACAAAACTGCTAATGATATTTAGTTCTCCAACCCTCTATTTCTCAAAAGAAGACACATTCAACTGTCATCTTACTATCATTACATTTCACATTAGGGGTCCTTTATCATATATTCAGGCTTATTTATGTACATATCAACACATTCCAATCAGACTGCAAGTTGTTTGAAGGCAAAGATTTTGCTGTCTTAAGTATCTTTGTATCTAATTTCCATCTCTCCACTCCCACAGTGGTTCTAATGTAAACAGACACTAAATAAATGAAGCATAATCATCAAATAATGTAATACTGATTATGTTAATGTACACTGATATCTAACAATTCTAATGTTTAACGTACTCTCAAATAATAATTATGCAATTTAGAAGATTGCCAAAACATACCATCAACAGCCCAGAACTTACATAGCACTTTAAGATTTGCAAAGTGCTTTACAACCATCATCTCATTTTAGCCTCACAACAACCCTGAGAGGCAGGTGCTATTATTATTATCTTCATTTTACAGATGAAGAACCAAAGCACGTTGAGGTTAAGTGATTTTTGCCCAGCATCAAGCAGCTAGCAAGTGACTAAGGTCAAATGTAAATTCAGATCTTCCTGACTCCAGGGCTACCTAGCACTCCATCTGCTCAGCCACATCGCTGCTATGAAAGATTGCTGCCTTTGTGGCCTTGAAGCATATACAAACTATGCTTCTATAAAGTTTCAAGAACAAAGATCCAAATTATCTTCCTTTGACTTAAAAGTCATAAACATTTCTACCTTAATATCTGAAAGATTCTTAAAAACTACAGAAAGGAGGATACATTATCATATGCTCCAAATGAAGTGAACAGAACACTAGATTTGTAGTTGGAATCCCTGGCTTCAAATATGGTTTCTGCTATTTTTACTAACTTGTATGACTTTGGCAAAGTCCCAAACCCTTGGGGCCTCAATTTCCTCACCTTTAAATGTGGAGTTATACTAGATGATCTCTAAGATCCCTTCCAGATCTAAATTCTACTATCTTTCATAATATCTGACTGTTGAAGTGACTACTTATGTATATTTTTATGCCATTTCAGGTATAATTACATACAACAAATCGGAGTGTATAGTTTTATTCAAAGTAGTCATTAACGAATAAACTGATGATAGTAAGCACAGTACTCTTTTTTTTGGAAACAAGGAAAAAAATGTACTTTCTAAAATTAAATTAAATTATATCACACTAGTTTTAGGTACATAATAACATTTCCTGCAGAAAAGAGGGCATTATCTGACCAAAAACACTGTCAATTTTCTGTTCAAACAGAACATTAAAAAATACCCACTGAAAAACATCAAAATTATGCAAACATATTCATATAAATGAATTTGTTACTTTATAATAATGATGTAATTTCAAAATTCATGTATACCCAGCATTACCGATAAGCAAAAATGCTATGATATGAACACAGTATCAAAACAAAATGGAAATATATTTAAATACTTTATGAAAACTAGAACCATTGTAGAAGTAGTAAGAGCAAAATAAAAAACATGATTCTTATTGACCAGAAAATAGGAATTTTATGCAATTTTTTGGAGAGAATAAAACTTTAGGTGAAAAAAAACTAAGACATTATACCTACCAGTGTTTTTGTGACCTTTCAATATATAAAGTGGTGCTGAACTATCCAGTGTAAATATGCAAATATTGTGGTCATTTCCACCAGTGGCAATTAGTCCTCGAGGATAAATATCACTTGATGGTATGATACACACACAAGAAACAAAATTGGAGTGGCCACTCATACAGTGCATTTCAATAAAACCCCTGTTAGGACTGAAAAAAATATGCCAATCAATATATTGTATATTTTATGTCCATAGATATAACCTAAGATATAACAAACTAGGAAGATACAAGATAGTCATTTTATATTTTTCTTAAAGTTGAACTTTAGTGTTACTAACACTATGTTAAAGTTACTATTTAATCACCTAGAATGAAATAAAAGTTTTGCACTTTAACCCAATCAATTATTTTATGCCCTAATTAATTAAAAAACAGAAGGGTAGTGTAGTACCTACTACAAAATAAATGTTACTAATTTATAACTACAAATCTAGTTGAAATGTCATACATCAATTAACAGAAAGTACAAGGGACATGGAAAGAAAGAAGAGAAAATAAATTTTATATTAGTAGATTATCATTGAAACTTCATTTCACCTTTCAGCAACTGTTACTCTAAAAGTCAGAGTTCTGGTTCAAGTGAAATGATTCCTGAAATTATAATAATTTGATCCACTACAGAAAATCTCAACAATAACAGTAACAATGTTAACATATGATAAGCATTCACATGACTCTGGCGTAGAATAATATATTTTAATAAATAGCATGTCTATCATTCTAAATTACAGAAGACGGTCTAATACAGGGACATCAAGGTCACAATTCAGTAGTAGATATGAAAATGAGATTTTCAATATGTTTTATATAGCTCTACCATAGCACTCTTGTGCTGCTTCACATAATCAAATCAACTAATTAAAGTTTATCAAAAATGCAAGATGCTTAGTTTGGTAGTAAGGCTACAAGATGGGCACATGAGAAAAGATTACCACAAGGATGGTAAATGGCATGTCCTGAGTAGTTATGGTAGTTCAGAGAAGGAAGTGACCACTTGCAACTAGGGTTGTCAGAGGTTTCTGCTTCTGGAGACAGGCAGATTAGGGTCGGGCAATCAGAAGCTTATGATTTTGATAAGCAGAAACGGGTGGGGGGGGAGCGCGAGAAATGGGACGAAGAGTACACTAAAATATAACATCCGAGTCAAGGTCCTAGGTTCTTGGGAAACCTTACTTGTGCTAACCTGAATTCAATAGCAAGGTCTACTCTAGATCATATAATCAGAGGCAGGCCCAAGGAATTTGAAGCAACAGCATGGTAACTATTCTAGGCTCATGAAGACTCAAGATTTATGCTACAGTCATGCCATTGCCAGTACTGAAGTCACTCCCATAAAGCCATTAATAACTTCCTTCAAGGAGACTGGGTCTTCATAAGAATAAGGTTAGGTGTTCACTCCAAAGTAACTTTAAAACCCAAGGCTGACCTTAGAACTGATCCAGTTTCCTGGGATACAACAAATAAGGTTAAAGCCAAACCCTGTATTTATAAAAAGTACTTAGCACAGTGCCTGGCACATAGTAGACACTATATAAATATTGTACCTTTCCCTTTCCCCACCCTATGAAGTGAATCACAGTGCACACACACACCTCTAGATCAGGCTGCAACAAGACTAGTTTACTCTTTTTCACTTGGAGTATTGTAATAGCCTCTTATCTGACCTCCCCTATCTCCAATCTCCTTTCATATCCCAGGTTTATATTCCCAATTTGAGTCAACAGGACCCCCCAAGGTCCAATATCTAGAATTATAAGTGGATTCTTTAAGACAAGAATTCAGCTCCTCTCCCACAAAACCCATAACTTTTAGCAGCTTCATGAACCTGTTCTAGTCTGAAAGTGATTGTGATCCAGGCACCTCAACAGCAGAACCAATGACAAGTAACTAAGAGCTCCCCAAAGCTGAGTGGCCTGGACCCAACACATAAACTAGTTCACAGTAGCTGATATGGCTGTACTCTTCCTTCTTTGTCCCTAGATGTTCTGCTTTAAGTCCTAAGCCTTAGGACTTATAAAAGGCCTATTTCTTTATTCATTACTAATAAGTCTGAATCTGGGTAAGGCGGTAAGGTCCTTGAGGGCAGAGATCATGTAATTTTTCATCTCTGTTCCCTGGAATGAGCCAATTGTTGAGCATAGAAGAAGGTGTTAATGTTTGTTGAATTGAACTGAGATGAATTTTATTTACCTTATGGTATAGCAAGTACCAAGCAACTCTTCTATTCAGTTAAGGAAAATCCGAGATACAAACTTTGAAAGGATGTCAGTCTCAATTAAACATTTAGTTGTAGGACTGAAACTAGGGTTCAAAGATATATTTACAGTAGAAAATAGTATTTCCTCACAGAATAAAAAGCAATGAAAGATAAATTGAGACCTAAGCCAAATCATCTGAAAAACATGTATAAGCAAATAGCTATCAGTATTTCTCTAGCAGTTTTTCTCTTCAGTAATACTAGAACTACTACATCTAACCTTCAACATCTCAATACTTGATGCATTATATGAGGAAATGGAAAAGGCAATTAAGAAGATGGAGTTGGGAAGCGCTGCCATACTTTGTCTAGTAGATAAGAGAAGAAATCTGTGCTCAAGGTGACAATTTTGAAGGTCCTCATGGTTCAATTTTGAACACCTCAAAGGGATTCCAAGATCATGGTATACAAAGCTAATATCACATAATGCTCCTCTGAGGATACAAGAGATATGAGCCTAGAGAATAGAAGACTTCGAAGGATATAATAACTGTCTTCAACTATCTGAAGGGCTGACAGAGGGAAAATGTGATTTATTCTGCTTGGTCTCAAGTACCAAACTAGGAGCAATGGGTGGAAGCTACAAAGAAGCAAATTTATGCTTGAGATAAGAAAAAACTTCTTAACCATTAGAGCTATCCAAAAGTATAATGGGCTACCAAAGGAAGTAGAGGGTACTTCACACTCAATAATGGATGGATAGCCACTTACTGGAAATGTTATAGAAGGAATCCTTTTTCAAGAATGGGTTAGATTAGATACTCCATTTCTGAAACTCTCTAACATTACCAAAAGAATGAAGTGAAAAAAAAAACACATATTAAGATATCATAAAAAGATGCAAATGAGCAAACACCAGCAAATCCCAACCTATGCCTCTCATCTATATAAAATCTTTTTGAGAATGGTGTCTACATGTATCAAAGTATATCCTTGATAAAAATATGAGAAAAGATAGGCTTTCATAGATAACTTTGAGAAGAAGTCACATCTTCAGCACTACACAATTGGTTATGAAAATTTGTTAATTACCAAAAACAAAGGAATAAACCTGCCTCAATAGAGTGTTAAATGCACCCTTAACTATAGGCTCTCCTCTAACAAGATCCAGAAACAAAAGTTAAGATTATTCTTTGATTTCTTGATTAACGTAATCAGAGAAAGCTGATTCAAGAATATCCAGCAAGGCATAAGAGAGGAAGACATATTGCCAGTATGATAAGAGTCCATATTGAAGAGATACTCTACAGGTAGTAAGGTTCTCTAGATACTTCTATTGCAGATAACATTGTACTGATTACATCAAACTCCTGATTCCTATAGGGCCTCCTCAGTGAGATACAGAGTCATTCAAAAGTAGTTGATATAACCCAGGCAGGAGCAAGAAGATGGATGAAGAACACGTATTGCTTAGACTATAAAAAGTAGCTGGAAAGGTAGACCAATAAGTTATTTCATCAGCACACCCCTCTGTGTGTGTGTGTGTGTGCGTGCACACATACACACAAATTCATCTATCTTGGACAGGCACTGCAGATGAAAAATGAACCCAGAATTGAAAAGATGGAAAAAAATGAGATTTTCTGATGTCCCTTTGGGATACTGCTGTCAAAGATGCCAAGATGTTCCCTTATGTTTAATACAACCGTTCATTCATTGGTGCTATATGGCTTCCAATCGTGTTATACTACAATGTCCAAAGAATCAAAATTGAGAAACACCACCATGTGGAAAGACATATAGTAGGCACAAGTACACTAACAGCATACAGCCAATGATAATCGGTATGCAAGAAGTACTGAGAAAAAAGACACCATCCAGCAAACATACAACCAGAAATAAGAACAACTAAAGGTCTTTTGGAGAGTAAACTGTTGAGAACAAATGGAGAACCTGAGTATTACACTAGAAACAAATAAATACTAAAAAGGCAAAGAATGAAAGAGATCTCCATTTTGAAAGATTTATAAAAAAAATAGGGAGAGGAAATGCATTACTATTAAGAAATGATAGGCTGTAAGAGTTTCCACAATGAACAGATCTCCAATATGCTGAAGCATTACTGTATGCGTAAGTAAGACCAGGGGTGGGAACCAGGGCCTCAAGGCCACAAGTGACCCTCTAGGTTCTCTTTGGCTGAATGAAGTTTGGATTCAAAGGGCTGAACTTGAGGACCTAGAGGGTCACATGTGACCTGTAGGCCCAGGTTCCCCACCCCTAGTTAAGACATTCAATATACTGGCTACACTCTAGAAAAGTACCATAAATCTGCAATGAACAAGAGCATAACTGGTGTCTCCTCCATTAGAATGTAAACCCCTTGTGATTAAGGACTGTTTCATCCTTTTTACTTGTATCCCTAGTGCCTGCCACATAACAGGCCTTTAACAAATTCTTGTATTTATAAGACACTTTAGATACCTACATCTGAGCAGCAGAATCTAAGAGAAGAATTACTACTATCCTGAAGACGTAAGTATTTGTGAGAAACTCCAAGACAAAATTTCACAAGTGCTTTTTATACGAGTTTTTATAAAAGCTTCTATACAAGTAAATCAAAATGTCCTACTTTGTTGCCCCCCCCATCAACCTAGAAAATCCAGACACACAAAAATTCTTCCTGGTTGTATGCTATGAAACTACCTCTTGTCAGGATACCTTTGAAGTACAAAATAATATCTAAAAACATCACCCTAGAAGTAAATTTCTATTTTACGAAAATTTTCTTCCGCACCATGCTACCACTTAATCAGTTTTTTAAAACACTGACACTGTTAAGACTACTGAAATCTAATACACAAATACAGGAAATAAAAGAGTGCGACCGTGTACTAGTGATTTTGGAAGTAGAGGTTCTGAAATGCTTTGCCAACAGCTACAAACAATTGCTTTCCCCTGTCAACAATTTAATGAATTACGCCCTGGGCCTAATCAGTCTGGGCGACAGGAGGAGGCAGCAATGCAAGGCTCAGTACTGGGTGATCCTGAGTCTAGGTGGCCCTGTTCTGGATAATTTCGCCCGGTTGGAAAAGCAGTTAAGTCTCTTAAGTCAGGAATTCCTGGCTAAGAAGACGGTCCAAAAGCGAAGGCCGGGGCGGGGCCATGCCCCTCTCCGGACTCTGAGGCCATGCTCACCTGTTTGGGGCCCACAGGCGGGTGGTGCGATCGCGGGACACCGACACGAAGGCCCCCGGCGGGTAAAGGCCGGCTACCACGCCCCGCACGTCCAGCTCGTGGCCCAGGAGCGAGCAACTCAGCCGGTACCTGCCCCCGCCGCTCGCCATGGCCCTGGATCCGCCGGGCAGCGCGGGGATGAACGGAGGGCAGTAGGGAGTGCACCGACGGGGGGGAAATCCCGGGAAACGGACACCGTGCTTGTCCCGCAAATTTTCCAAAAGGGAGGCCGGGAAAGTGGGCGGGCACCCCCGCCAAGCGCCCGAGCCACACGCAGAGAGTTTTTGAGGTGACTCGAGAGTAAGAGCAGGAGACCGGGGAGGGAAAGAGGGGACCGTGAGTAGACCCGGGCAAGAGGGGGGTGCGGGGAAGCGGAGGGGGGGGGAAGCTCTGACACAGCAACCCTACACTTCACACCGGAAATGCGTCATCAGCCGCAGCCGGGCGTGATGCACTTAGTAGGGGCTACGGCGGGCGCCCTCGCCTCATTCTTCGCGCCCTGCCTCTCCACTCCGCGGAGAGAAAGTAGGGATGATAACATTGCGGTCGAAGGACGCAGATCTTCATGTCCACTTCTGAATTTAACCAAGCTCTAGTTTTAAGCCCGAGATCAATCGGGACTACAAGTCCCGCAGAGCAATGCGCTAACTCGAGTTATGGAGGGGGGCGGAGTGAAACCGAGCTTCTTTAGAGCGGTTCTGGGATACCGAGCTCCCCACATTGCATCTTGGGAGCTGTAGTTTTGTGTAAACGCTTTTCCAGTTGCAGCCTTACCCGGCTTCTCTCAATTCCATCTCCCCCAAAACATCCACTCTTCCCTTAATTTATATGCGCAATCTTTTTTTCTTTTCTTTTCTTTTCTTTTTTTTTTTACAAGCCTCGACGTCTGGGATGATGAACTGATCTTTCTGTAGCACTTCGTGAAATTACATTCCCAAACTAGACATAGAGTGGATTATTTGTAGGTTCCACGGCGTTTTGGACATCTCGAATTGGCTGTCCCATATACATCTTAAACTTAACACGTCCAAAACAACTCATCATGACCCTTCCAAACCCTCTTCCCTTCTCAATTCCCCTATTACTGTTGAAGGCACCACCATACTTTCAGTCACCCACGGTCTCAACCTAGGTGTCATCCTTGACTTGCTCACTGCCCCTATCATATTAGTTACCAAGTCCTGTAGATTTTACCTTATTATTGCGTTTCATATACGCCTCCTTTCTGCTTTGACTCTGCCAGCAACATGGTACAAGCCCTCATTGTCTCATAACTGGACTATTGCAATAGCCTGGTGGTTGGTCTCCCTGCCTGGTCTCTCCCTCTTCCTGTCCATCCTCCACTTAGCTGTCAAAGTGATTCTAAAGTGGGGCTCTGACCATGTCATTCCCCACCCCATCACCTCCTTAGCACAGTTCAGTGGCTCCTTATCACACCCCAAGACCAAATATAAATTCCTCTGTTTGACATTCAAAACTCTTCATAACCTGGCTGCCTCCTACCTTTCTATGCTTCTTAAATCTTACTCCTCCCCCCATACTCTGCAATCTAATGACACTGGCCTCTTGTCTATTAGTCAAACAAGATATTCCATATCCCTACTCCAAGCATTTTTAGTGGCTTTCCCCAGTCTTGGAATTCTCTCCACGTTCCGGCTTCAAATCTCAAATAAAATCCCACCTTCTACAATGTATTGTTTTGTTTTTCCCTCCTCATTCCCCCTTAATGCTAGTGAGCCATCTCTCTGTATATGTCTTGTACATAATTGTTTAGGTGTTGTCTCTTCCATTAGATTGTGAGCTCCACAAGAGAAGGGATTGTTTTTTGCCTTTCTCCCAGGTATCTCCCAGTAGTTAGCCTGGTGCCTGGCACAGAAGCGGTGCTTAATAAATGCTTGTTGACCCTGGTGACCATGTTTAAGCACACATTTACTCTATTTAATTATTTTTAAAAGTCTCTGAATACTTGCTACTTGCTTTTAAAAGATTTTTCTTATTGAACACTACATGGAAATGAGGGTCTGTGAAATTATAAACCTTTATTATATAAATTAAGAGCAGCTAGGTGGCACAGTAAATAGAGGGCTGGGCCTGGAGTCAGGAAGATCTGACTGGGTGATTATAAGTGAGATTTAGAGAAGTAGCCCATTTCTTGTTACAAAAAAAACCTCGTTATAAAAAACAAAGAGGGAAAAATAATTAGTTTAGCAGAATCGACAGAGCAACCAAGTTCAATAGTACATGCAACATTCTACACCTATTTTCCCCCCCCTCTGGAAAAAAGGGAAGGAAATTCATTTTCTCATTTCTTCTTTATGGTGTTCATTATACACAGCATTCTTTTAATTTTTAAAACATATTTACATTACTGCAGTCGCTGTGTATATGCATATGTATGTATATGTATATATGTACATGTGTAGGTCTATATATACATACATATGTGTGTTATGCACATCTACATATAGTTTCCCTAGTTCCAATTATCTTACATCAGTTCATACATTCCCATGCTTCTCTGAATTTTTCATATTTATTACTTCTTAAATACATAACATTCCATGGAAACCAATTACTAAAAGCTCTCTCTCCCTCTTCTTCATGTCTGGCATTGTACTCTACCCTCCTTCCCTCCAGACTCTGATAATAAAATGGCTCTTCAACTCACCAAAGCTAACCCTTCTCAATGTGTTCTTCCCATCTTCTCCCACAGGTTGCTCCCTCAATAATGCTCTTCTCGAATAATATCTCTCCCTAACTACTGCTTTCTTCCCTGCTTCATACAAACATGTCCCAGTCTTTTTCATCCTTTAAAAAAAATCTTACCAGATCCCTCAATGTAGTATCCTATATCTCTCCTCTATTTCTCCGCCAAACTCATAGAAAAAGATGATTGCATTCATTACCTCCAATTCTTGTTTTCCTTCACTCATTCTTCAACACTTGGAATCTTGCTTCCTACTTCTCTCAACGGCAACTGTTGTTGCCAAATCTAATGGTCTTTTCTCGGTCCTTATACTTCTTGACCTCTCTGCAGCATTTGACAGTTGACCATCTTCTCATGCTGGATACTCTGCTCTGGATTTTTATTCTTGATATTATTCTCTCCTACTTCTCCAAACTCTCTTAACACCTCTTCAGTTTGCTTTACTGGGTCATCAGCCACATCAATCTTCCTAACATCAGGTTTACCCCAAGGCTTTTTCCTGGGTATTCTTCTTTTAACTCTCCACCATTTCTTATTTGGTGACTCCTTCAATTCCCATTAGTTTAATTATCATCTATATAGTTGACTCCCAGATCTATATGTTCAACTCTAGGTTTTTGTTTTGTTTTGATTTCTAAGCTCTAATCCAACATTGCCTATTGAATATTTTAAACTTGATTGATGTCCCATAGACACATCAAGCTTATCACATCAAAATTTATATCAAATTTAACATGTCAAAAACTTAACATAGTATCTTTCTCTGAGGCAGCTAGGTGGCACAGTAGATAGAGTGCTGTATCTGGAGTCAGGAAAACCTAAGTTCACATTCTGCCTCAGACATTAGTTGTGTGACCCTGGACAAGTCACTTAACCTCTCTGAGCCTCAGTTCCCTCACCTATAAAATGTGGATAATAATATCACCTACCTCCCAGGATTATTGTGACAATTAAATGAGATAATATGTGAGGTGCTTTGCAAACCTTAATGTGCTATATAAATGCTAGCTATTATTATATCCTTCCAGCCTCATCCTCTTCTAAACTTCCATATTTCTGTCAAGGGTCTCACCATACTTCTCAGTTTCTCAATTGTTTAAAAAAATTCTCCATTCTTCATTCTCATTTACCCTGCATATACAATCAGTTGCCAAATCTTACTTTTATCTCCCCAGTATCTCTTGCATCTGTCTCCTTCTCACTACTCAAACAACTTCTTAATTCAGGTCTTCATCACCTCTCACCTTGACCATTTCAATATTCTCCTATCATCTCCTTACCTTAAGTGCCTTCCTATTCCAAACCACCTTCCCATAGTTGCCAATGTCATTTTCTCTTAGCACAGATCTGACAATGTCACTTTTGCACTCAATAAATGAAAGGAAGGAAACATGCATTTATTAAGCACCTATTTGGTGCTAATCACTTTAAAAATATTAACTCATTCGATCATGTTGTCATTTGGAATAGACTCCATATTACCTCTAAGGCAAAATATAAACTCCTCTGTTTTAAATGGGCTTCAGCACTTGGCCCCAAACTGTCTTTCCAGACTCATTACTTTATAACTCCGCTTCCCACACTCTCAGTGCATAGCCAAACTGTCCTTGCTCTCCCTTACAAATAGCATTCTACCTCTTATCTCTGTATCTTTGCCCTGGCTGACCTCACCTGGAATGCACTCCCTCCTCACTTCTACCTTATAGAATCCTTTCATTAAAGATAGGTCAAGCTTCACCTTCTATCTCATGCATGTCATTGATCCTTTGGCATTCTGGTGCAACCTATAGACCCATTTTCAGAATAATGTTTTTAAATATACAAAATAACATAAGTAGGAAAGGAAATAAATTATACTGAAGTGCACTTAAGAAAAAAAAAATTAAACACAAGTTCACAGGCCAAAGGTAAAGACCCTCTGTTCTACATGAGGCCTTCTTGATTCCCACAACTTCTAGTGCCCTCCCTCCCTAAACTGTTTGGTATTTAGCATGTATGTAGTTAATTAAGAAATGGGAGAATTTGCTGGTCACTGAGAGCCCGGTCCTTAGGAGCATGCACAGCTTGCTTTGCCTGATGCAATCCTTCCAGAAGACTGAGCTTAGGCATAGGTATGTGTTTGTGCATATGTGTACACACACACACACACACACACACACACACACGTAGATGTATATGTATATGTACTATGTGTATATGTATGTATATACATATATGGGTATGCACGTGTATGTGTATTACATATGGGTGTTATGTGTAAGTATAGAGTATATGTACTATATATGCATACAACTGTGTAGTATATGTATATGTGTATGTGGATATGCATGTGTAGTATATATGCATATGCCTGTGTATGTATATGTGTATATATAAGTTCATTTGCATATGTAAGTCATTATGTGTGTATGTATATGCACATGAGGATGTGTATTTGTATTTCTAAATGTATATTCATCTGCACACTTAGATACGTATGTCTCTCAACATAATGTAAGCTTCTTGAGACTACGACGTTGGTCTTTGCAGTTTAATAAATGCTTGCTGACTGCGTTACCAGCCAAGTAGCGGGTACTCTCTTCTTTCCTCCCTTACGTGAAGAATATTAGAATACAGGGGAAGAATTAAGGCAAGGTCAGTCATCTCGCGAGAGCCAACTGCTACTTCGCTCTTGACTGGGAGAAGGCTGGGGGAGGGTGAGGGGGAAAGGGAGGGGTAAAGGGAGGGATAGGGCGCCGGAAGCTCCGAGCTCGGCAGGGCTGTATCTGGTTGCCTGGATACGGGCTCAGGCGCCTTGGCTGCGTGGCTGTTGGAAGCCCCCTGAGCAGCCGGCCGGCTGGGGCGTGCTGACGGCGGGCAGGGGGTGAGTGGACGAGCGATCCGGACGGAGGAGGGGCGCAGAGGAGCTCCAGCTCTCGCGGTTCCCCGCGGCCGTACCCCCAGGACCCCCGGATTGAGGTGAGGCATCCTTCACCCTACCTCGCTCCCCTTCGCTTTCTTACACACTTTGCAGAACCCTCACCGAGTCGCTTCACCTCTCTCTCCACCCAGTTCTTTCCCTCCTCAGCACCCCAACACACTGTCCCCCACCCCTCGACTTTCCCTGGGCCGAATGCCTCCATCCTCGGACTCAGGCCTTTATGATTCCCGCCTGCACCACAAGCCCCGGCCAGGCACCCTCTTCCCGAAATCGGGAATGTTGCGCCCAGGGCTCTTCCAAACCCCACCCCCAGCCGCAGTTTGTTCTCGGGGTGCTAGGGGATGGGGAAGGAGATAGTGAGCTGTGAAAGTTTGACTGGAGGCAGTAAGATGAGAGAACGGAAATGAGAAAAGAAAAAAAAAAAACCAAACCAGAGTGAGTTGTAGGATTTTTTTTAAAGCCGAGACGTACAAAATTTCAAAGCTGGAAAAGATGCTGGAGAGCAGTAGGTTCAGCAGTTGGATGTTTTTGATTTGTTTGTTTCAGATGAGACATTCAGGCCCTGACTTTCTAAGTAACTGCCCTAAGATCTCACCGCTGGTTAATGGCAGAATTAGTACTAGAATCCAGGTTTTCTGACTCCTGTGGTATTTCCCGGTCATCTTAATAAGCTCCTGCGATCCCTTGGAGATGAACAATTCTGTGTGTGTCTTGTTTGTACTGAGTCCTTTACTTGTTTTTTCCCCAACTAGAATATGAGCTCCTTGCGAGTATGGTCTTTTTTTTTCCTTTCTGTTTTTTTTTTTTCCTGCCTTTATATAGCATTCACTTAGTTCAGTGCCTGCCATGTAGTAGAAGCTTAAAATAAATGCTAGTTGACTTCACGTTTTGTTTCCATATTTTACCAGCTAAGTCTGAATAGAAGCAAAGGTTTTGTTTGTTCGTTTCACAACCTTTTTGTAAATAAAAACAAAAATTTAAGCCCCACCATGTTTACATGCTGTAATTTTCTCAAAGAAAGAGACTTCAGGAGAGATAATGGGATGGTGTTTCCAACAGAAATAGCTACTAGTCATGTCCAAGCCACCTGTGGAGAGAACCTTTTGACCAAACTCTCCCTTATGCAGTAGACATTTTTCAAAGCCTACTTTGGGCAAGATGCTATGGTAAACACTGGCATTAGGAAACTTTTAAAAAAGTTTTAACAAACAAACAAAAAACAACAGTTACCCTTGGAATCAGTCAAAAGGCTGCATTTGAGAACCTAGAAGGCCTTGGGGCTGCAGGTTCCCCACTCCTGTGATAGGGTCTTTGAGGTGTTTTTTGTTGTTGTTATTGTTGTTTTGTTTTATTGGTCTATAATCAGAAAGTGTTATTGCTGCTGTATTCTCAGCAACAGTACTTCTCTGGGTATAGAATCTCAGAATTGGAATGAATATCAGAGGATAGACAGCTTATCCAACCCCTAACTAAATCATGAATCTTCTCTAAGTTGGTAAGTATCTGAGGCACTTACTGTGTAGCAGGAACTACTGAACTAAGCACTGGGGATACAAAGAATGGCAAAAAACAGTTCTTGTCCTCAACAAGCTCACCATCTAATGAGGGAGACAGCATGCAAGCCATTATATATAAACAAGATGGATATAGGACAGATTGAAGATAGTCTCAGAGGGAAGGTACTAACATTAAGGGATATTTTGCAACTCTTCTTACAGAAAATGAAATATTTTAGCTGAGACTTCAGGAAAGCCAGCAAATGGATACAAAGAAAGAGAGAATTCTAGGCATGTGAGAGAACCAGTGAAAATATGTAGAATTGGGAGAATGTATGTCTTGTTCCAAGGAAGAGCAGGGAAGCTAGTATCATTGAATGGTAGTGTAAATGGAGGGATAAATATTCATTCAACAGCTATTAGAAAACCTTTAATGTTAGATCCCTATTCAGATTATTCAACTTCTAGACAGATATGATTATTAATTAGTTTTTCCTTCTGGTGAGGCATTGATCCATTGATCTTGTTTCTGTCTTGTGAGATCTCTGCAGAATAGGTTCAGACCCTTTTCACATGAAACATCCCTTCATATATTTTAAGGCAATGGTCAGATGTTCCCTACATCATCTTCTAGAATAATTCAGCTGGAAGGGATCTCTGAGGCCACCTAATTCCTCCCACTTATTTTAGAAATGAGGAAATTGAGGCCTACAAAAGGTTTGTACAGGGTCTCACACACAGAGTTTCAAAAGCAGAATTTTAACCCAGGGCCTCTGACTCCAGGACCAGTGTTTGTATCACTGTATGATACTTCATCTTCAGCCCCTTTACATTATTCTTGTGTCATTTTTGAGTCCTACTATTTCCCTGATTGTCCTCTTCTCCAGCAATTCTGCTAAACAGGAAGTTAAGTTATTCTGAAATAATTTGTTCTGAATGAATCAGTTTTGTTCATAGTTAGTGTTCACCACTTCCCTTGCTATGTGCTTGTAAATCATTAATAATCTTTTCCAGAATTTTGCCAGAAATCCATGTCAGGCTCACTGACTTTTCATTTGAAGGCTCCTACCCCTTTGATGAAGTTTGATATACTATTTCCCTATCTTCAGTTGTGCAGAAACCTCTTTCCTCTTTTCTATAATTTGTTGTTGTTATTTTTTTGAGACTGGTTCTCCCTATGTCTGTGCTGTAAATGCAGCAGCTATTTACTGACCCCATTTCAATATTGACCAAGAAGCTTTGACCTTCCCTGTTTCAGACCTGGGCTCTTTAAAGGGCAGTCTGGTGGTTCTTCTCATTATATTGGTGAGTTCACCATATGGGGACTCACCATGTTCGTGCTGAACTCAGTGAGGACACCCTACCAGTTTTATCCTTAATGCAGCTCAGAATTCCTGAGGCCATCCACCTGCCTAAACCTCTTGGTGCTAGGGATTAGAAGCATGTACCACCACACTCAGCTATTTCCCCCTGGTTTCTTAAAGATTATAGCAGCCAGCAAGGCATAGTGTATAGAGAGTTGGCCTTAGAGCCAAGAAGACTTGAGTTTAAGTCCTACCACTGACACATACTGACTGTGGAACCCAAGGTAAGTCACTTAATCCCTTAGTGCTCCAGGCAGCTCTTTATGACTATAAATTCAGAGAAGGTGGTGACCTACATTAGTAGAGGAAGTTCTTCACTGGGAGCTTCTTATACCAATGAAATCACATGTTTATTCCCTATTTCTGTCTCACTACAGAAGCCTTACCTGCATGTTATTTCATTGCCTGGGGATGTAATTTGTCCAGGCCAGGTGACTCATCTCCTTAAGTTTTGATTACTTGTTAACAAATTTTTTTTCCTATCCTTCCAAGTCTGTTTTCGTTATCAGAGAATCTGAGTTGGAAGGTCATCAAGAGGTCATCAGGTTTAACCCTGACATGAACAAGTAGGCATATGGCTTTTGTTTGAAGACCATCAGTGAGTCATTGATAAAATATTAAATCTTAAAAGACCAAGCAGGGATTACTAGAGTACTCTATTAGAAGCCTCCTTCCAAGATGGCATCAAACCATTCATGACTATTTGTTGCTTCCAACAGTTTCAACTCAATTAAACGAGCATTTATTAAGCACTCTCTATTTGTCAGACACTATACTAGGTTCTGGGGTTACAAAACAAAATAATTACTGTCTTTAGGGAGCTTACATGCTTTGGGGGTAGGAACAATGTGTACACAGGTTTGTACAGGGAGGGGATGCTGCCACTACTGGGAGTAGAAAGACTGGAAATTTTTTTAGTAGATTTTTCTATCATTACATTATCTAGATCTCTCTATTTTCCATGAAAACCATCCATTATTAACTGAGAATGTTAAAAAAGAAAGAAAAAAGATTGAAAATATGTGATGTTGCAGTGTCCCACACCCATAGAGACCTGCCAAAAAACTAGTGGGAGGAAAAGCTCTTCTCGTATCTTTTCTTTGGGCCATCTTCTGTATGTTACCTTGCAACATTCTTTTTAGATTATGTTGTATTGGTGGTTCTTTCATTTACATTGATGTAGTAAATGTGTATGTTTTCCTAGCTCTGCTTGCTTCATTTTGTATCCGTTCATGTCAGTCTTTACATGCTAATACATATTTACATGCTATTCATCATGTTCATTGTTTCTTACAGCCCAGTATTATTGTTACATTTGTGTACCCAGTTTGTTTATCCATTCCCTATTTAAGGTATATCTACTTTGTTTCCAGTTGAAAAACCTACTCTAGTACTCCAGCCTCAGCATTGCAGGGAGGTAGGGCTTTTATGAGACCATGCAAGTATAGTCATAGATTAGCATGAGAGGTTTTGGCAAATGCTCTGCTCAAGTCTAGGTAAACTGTATCTACAGTATTTCCCTGTTCTACCAGTCTAATAACCCAGTTTAAAAGTCAATAAACTTCATCAGGCATGATGTACCTTTTAAAATGATGCTGATTCTTTGTAAACACTGCTTCCTTTTATACACGTCCATTAACCATTCTTGTAACAAGGTTCTAATTAAGTTTTCAACAAGAATTTAAAATGTATCCAATATGTGCAAGCCACAGTGATGTGTGCTGGTAGTACCAAGACAAAAACAAGTAATAGTTCCTGTACTCAAGGAGCATATGTTTTTGGGGGGGTTTGGGGGAGATATAAGAGATAAATATACAAGTAAATATAATATGAGAGCACTAACAAGGAGGGTGATGAGGGAAGTTTTTTGCATAAGAGGAAAATAAGGAAGGTGGTGAAAATGCAGGCATAGATGAGAAGGGGATGCATTGTAGCAATGGTGGATACCCTGTGCAAAGGTGCAGAGGTAGGAGATGGAATACTGAGTTGAGGGAACAGGAAGTAGTCCAATTTAGCCAATTCCTAAGATTATACAGAGGAGAATAATTTGAAATAAATTTGAAAAGTCAAACTAAAGCCAGATTGTGGGTGGCTTTAAATGCCAAATAGAAGAATTTGTATTTTATTTTAAAGACAATAGGAAGCCACTGAAGTTTCTTGTGCAGGACAGAACAAGGA